CCAAAACCAGCATGAGTCCTGGTGGAAAGGCCTTTTGGGGAGCACATTCTCAAGAAGAGTACAACAGATACAAGGGTATCTAATCTGCCAGTGAAAGTCACAGAAATTGTCAATAGGGAACTGAAATGAGGTAACATTAAGTTAGCATCAAGATGTAGGGTTTTTCACGTCAAGGATGACTAAACATGGGAACAAACCACAAAGATATGGTGGATGTGGTGCCTTTTTCAGACCTGCATGTTTTCAGATTTAAAGAGCACTGTGGAAGATCCTCTTCAGATGCAGAGGTTACGTGAGCAGATCTAGGTAAAATCTGGTGGCATCTGCTACCCAAATCATACAAGAATGTATGACTGCATTGTCTGAACACCGAAACATAAGCAACACACTTTGCAGTGGCCATTGATTCATACATGTTTGACACTAAAGCCTTCCCGAGGATAACAGTCACTTCCCTCCAGTGTCCCAGTCACATCTCTCCAAGTGCTGCGTATGATAGCAGTAAACTGTATGTCATCACTAATTTACTGTGCTCACTGTGTCGTATGCCAGTTTGGAATAAAGCAGGGACTGACACTTATCTTGATTTTAGGAGACTCCCTTGTCGTCACCATTATCTTGAAGAAACACATACAGGCTGCTGATCTCAGATTAAGGGATTTAGGAAGTTCCTAAAGCAAGAGCTTGAACTGCCCATCAAAGAAACAGAAAATTACCAGCTGGTTTCTCAGACAGCTGGATCAGAGACACAGGCGGAACAGCAGTGAGACCAAAAATGCATGCAAAGAACATAATAACAGTCCTGTCTTCTGCTGCTAAACAAATGCAGTTTTTTAATTGTATAAAATATTTATAATGATATGCAGTAGGTTGCACTCAGATTTTTTTTTTTTTTAAAAGAGAGGGTAATAAACTCTACTGCCCAACTCTCCAATCTCCTCCGCTGATGGGATGCAGAGAAAAGCCACCAGTGCTGCTGCACACTGCTGCAGGCTTTCTGCCAGGGGAAGAGTGGATGCTAAAGGGGCAAGAGTGACCTGGGTCATGCAGCAGCTTCTTTCTGCATCGTTTCACAGGGATGCAAACCTCCTCGCCCTCAGGAGAGCCAGCCGTGCATATTTTTATGTCTACTTCTGCTTTGCTCTCAAGGCCTTTGATTTTATCTTTAAACCAGCAGTGTTTATAGTTCTCAAGATGATCGTGTTCTGCTAAACAAGTTCCTTTGTCCCATACTGTTGCTGACAAATCAACTAGTGAAACAATTTTATTATTCAGTAATTTCAGTTTTGCCTCCGAGTTTTTCACTGTCCCCTTTGAACTGAAATTGTTGCATTAATCCTACTATGATTTTGTCTGCCACACATGTCATTGCTACATCCTATTAAAAGCAGTTGCAGCCGTGCTTACTGCTGGCTTCCTTCTCTCTTTTGAAGCTGTTCTCTTTGACTGGTCTTAATTAATGCATAAGCCGGGAAAATGCCTTCTTTCCGCCTTTTAAGATGTTTTTGTTTCTTTGTTTCAATTTCACTTGTATGGCTAAGGAGATGTTTCCAGTGTGCTCCTTATGAAACTGAAAGGGAAATGGAAGGTTAGGCAATCTCTTATTGGTGAAAGAAACCTGTCGCGTTTCTGCTTTGACTGCATTACTATCATGTGCTTATTCCACTTCATTTCTTCTCTGTCTTCTGTATATTAACATGATGAAAGTCCTCTTCCAACTCAAAGACTTTGACAGCCAGCAAAGATGGATCACTTACCAGCTGAGGGAATCATGTAGGGGAAACCAAGGCGAGCGTTAAACAAATTTACCAGGGGGATCAGCTAAGAACAGTAGGCCGAAGACCTGTAACTAATTAACACCAGTTCCACGTACTGAAACAAGAGGTTGAAAACCTATTAGATAATTAGTAAAAATCTTAAAAGCTGCAATCCTCAAAGCAGCCTCAGATATCAAGAGGAAACACCAGCCTGCTAGGCTAGATAGCAACTTGTCAAGGCATTAATCATCGTATTTAATGGCTGTGTGGGCAGCACGCAAAGGGCAGCAGCTGGCGGGGAGCACTTTGGCCATGTGCAGCCAGCATGTGCCTCAGTTTCCTCACCTACAAGCTTGACAAGCTTGGTGGTTCTTCAGCTTCACACGTGCCCACAGAAAGCTGCTAGCGCACCATGCCTTCAGAGAGGTGACAAAATGGGGAAAAGTTGGTGATTCTGCTGGAAAACACAACAATGTTATGAATTTGTCTCCTGCACGTTGGCAGGTGAACCTTGCAATTTGGAGCCCCTTCGAGCCCGTAAATAAGCCACAGGGAGCAAAATCATCTCAGCCTGTAAATGGGCTTCTTTACAGAAGATCAGGGTGACAGCATCCCAAAAATGCCTGAAACATAAACCTGAGCTTTGATCTTGGCCACATCTCAACGTCTCCCAGGACCACCTTGTGGCACAGAGCTCAGAGAACAGCTACGGAAAGGAGGGCTGCTCCACGTTGCCCAACACTGGTGCCAAACCCACTGTTGTCCATGAAGCTACTCGACATTCCCCCACTGTCAGAGCAGGAAGGATGCGGAGGACAACTTTATGAGAACAGCCTGTTCTGAACAACCCAGCCACTGCTGGGGCTTTCTAACAATGAGGGAAAAACTCATTCTCTCCCTTTACTCAAGGCCTTCAGAGCAGCTGTTACAAATAAAACTTGCCTGTCTCGACACAGCTGCAGTTTTCTAAACTGTCAGCTCAGGGAAGCTGATAAAAATGTATTAAGTACTGCAAAGAGGTCTTCTTGCTGCCCCTCAGAAGGTGTTTTTGCTGAGTCAGTTTAAAAGCTTCCTCTGTACATCTCTGCCTTGTTTGAAATCACTCATTTTTCCATCTCATCTGGTGCTGTTGATTAAACATGAGTGAGCCTGCAGATGTTCAGGGCACTTCTCTTAGCTACATTGGGTGAATCCTTAAGTCTCTTGCAAACACACTAAGCCAAGATCTTGTAATTTCTATGAAATATTATTAAAATAATTTTGTTCCTTGTTCTTTTCTTTTTTCTCCACAATTTTTCATTTTTTTCAATATACAATAAAAATTAAAAATAGAAATAAAAGTATATGTTTTAATTTTGGCTAGAAAACTCTGCTTTTTGTAGAATGAAAACTCTTGCTCAAAACAACACTTTTGCTTTTTTTTTTTTTTTTTAATTGTAATCTCTTTTATCACAAGACTAGATAGACACAGAAAAAGTCCCAAAGCCTGCCTTAATCATTTCAGCGCCTCAAAAGACTAACTCCACATGCATAACCAGGCAGATTCAAATATGGTCCATCAGGCACTGAGGAGTGAATCTATTTTACCAGTGTACGGCAGTGCTGTTTGATTTGTGACAAATAGGTGGTTCCGGCTCCTGATTATTGGGCTGCCTTTCTGAGCCTGAGTGGAGAATAACTTCCTATCAGACTTTTGCCATTAGTTTCAGTCATGCCTAAATAGAAAAATATTTTCTTGGGCTTGCAATAAAATTTCAGGCTTTCCATATAACATGGCATCATGATAACTTGTGCTATTTTCATAGACCAATGCTGTAAGGGAGATGCTGTCAGATAAGCCCATATTAATATTAGAAAAAGATCTAATATGGTGATGCTTTTCTTTGATGATAAATGCAATTGCAGGCCAGCCACAGTAATTGTCTTTATTTTGTGGGGAAAAAAAATAGAAAGAAATAGTGCAAGGCAGTAATCTCACAGTCAATTAAGCAATGCTGAGTCCTGAAATGGTCTTTCAGTTTACATTTCCCTGCCAAAAAGAAAAAATAATTACTTTACATGCACTAGAATAATGATATTTATTTATGATCTGAGGTATAGATTGTATGCTTTGTAATAGTTCAGATCTGAAGATACACAGATTCATTTTAGGAACAGAGAGATCAAGACAGCATAACATTAAAAAACAAATATCAAATTAAAATGTCATAAAAGTAATAATTTAACTCCCAGCTTTTCACTTCAGAGGAAGACCCCATCTCGGGCGGCTTTGCGCAGGACTGCTCAGTCATCATTTTATGGCTCCAGACAGGTACAAGATAGGTATATTCCTGTAAGATATCAGTATTGGGGCTAGGAATAGAAAAACTGACATTTTGGAGGCTTCAGACTGTGATATCAGTCAGTGCTGAACACCAGACTTGAGATCAGCAGGACGAGAGAGGCAGTCAGAGGACAGGTAATCTGGGGGATCCATGTTTAAATGGGACCTTCCAATCCCAACAATAGTCCTTCAAGTACCACCATACCCCTGTGTCCCTTTCCTGTGCATTTAGTATTTCTCCTTTCTTCCCATAGAAAGGAGAAATTCCCTTTTCTTCTTCCCATAACACCTTCTCCACCTTCCAGTGGGAAGTGTCCCTGCCCATGGCAGGGCAGTTGGAACTGGAAGATCTTTAAGGTCCCTTCCAACCCAAAGCATTCTGTGGTGCACTTTTAAAACCTAAACCTGCTCAGAACCAACAAGAATTAGACCCAGGACACGCAAATATTTAGTCTTTCTTCCCTGAGGCATGGATAATTCAATGGAAGGGTCACTAACGAGCTTTCCCCTCTTGCTTCCTTGCACTGGTACACGTTGGGCTGACCGTTTGCCAGGGTCAGTCTGAGCATGGAGCAGTGCTCAGGAGACAGAAATCTGTGGGGAAAAAAAAACAGCTGTGAAATAAAGCTATGACAGAGAAAAGCCATTCCCTTTTTAACTTCTTCTCTGTGCTGGATGCAACGAATGCAGCTTTTTATGCTGTTCTACGTAAATAAGATTTAACTACTGTCTTCTTGTGTAGGCCAGGCTCAGAGACACGCTTCGAGGTAGGGGCTCATCGTGTTCCCCCCGTGCTGTTCACTTCTTAGCCCTCAGGAGCCGTCCCTTTAGCTTGGCCAAGACAAAATACAACTTGTCACTTTAAAAGCAGCTCTGCCACCTTGAAAAACGCGACTTTCTGAGACTATCGCCCGCATTTACACATCAGGCGTGTGGAGAAATTTCTCCTCGGAGCAAAGCAGAGAGGCGTGCGGTTTGAGGCACTCTGCGTAGCCGTAATAAGCGTTTATTTCTCTGAGGATCGCTGCTAGATGAGAACTCATCATCTCTCGTAACCATCACGGGGAGGCTGCTCGATAACGAGACCAAGCGACACATCTGCCGGGACCGTCGCCTGCCATTTATTTCCCTCAGACGAGATTAATTCCGCGCGGCGACCTCCTTCCCCCACCCACCCCAGCCCCTCCAACACACGCTCCCCGGCTTCCAGCCCCTTCCACCGGGGCCAGGGGCCGCAGCCCGGCTCCCTTTCAGCCTGCTGGGCTCCGGCTGCCCGGCGGGGAGCCGTGCCGGGGGCCATGCTGGTGCCGGCGCTGGGCGCCGAGGAGCCGGGGCTGGCGGAGGGCCGGGGCCCCATGGCCGCCCTGCCCGCCCTGCTCTGGCCGCTGCTGGCCCTGGGGGCGGCGGCGGCGGCGCTGCTGCTCCGCAGGGGGCTGCGCCGAGGCCCAGCCACCGAGGAGAAGGAGGAGGAGGAGGAAGAGGAGGAGGAGGAGGAAGAGCCCAGACAGCAGCGGGAGGATGCGAGGAGCTCGGCGCAGGTAAGGGAGGTGGAGGGGGGCATGAAGCGTGCTGCCCGGCGGCACCCCCCTCCGGCAGCTTTCCCTCTCGACTCATCCCTTTGGGGGGCTGGGGTTCATCCAGAGACCCCCGGGGCAGGAGAAGCTCCCCTGGGGAGAGAGAAGCCCCCCTGGGGCAGGAGAAGCTCCCCTGGGGGGCACCGAGCTCCCCACCGAGCTCCCCCCTCAGCTCCGGGTGCAGCACCCCGGGGTGCTGCCCGCCTGTCTGGCTCCACACGGGCTTCATCCCTCCTGCAAAGAATTAAGAAACTCCAGATAATGCCCGCCACAGCGCGACGGAGGACATCGGCAGAGTCCCTCTGCCCTGTTGTTAATAAAGAATACTAATTATTTGCCTTTACTCTCAATCAGAGCTTCATTACGACTGCATTAATACATGGTAGTAGATGCAAGGTGCATTAATGACCGCTGGCCATTGATGACCACCTTGCTGCGTGTACGTTGAGGGTTTGATGCGATGTGCTGTGATGAAGTTTCCGTATGACATTGTCACGGTTGGCTGTGTCTCTTTGACTTGCTGCAAGCAGCAGAAAATCGAAGCAAAAATTACCAAAAAAAAAATCACACACTGGGATATTGCGGTATGGAAAGCAAGGTAAGTTCTCAGGAGAACACACTGAGCAGAAGTAAGTCTATTTAAAATGAATACATCAAGCATTTCCAACACTTGTACCTGTTACTATATCTTCTATCTTTTTCTTCTGAGATAGGCAAAACAAAATGAATTTGCAAGGCTTTTTTTTTTAGGTGGGCTATAAAATAAGTGGTTTTGTTCTTCATGACTTCAAATGTGTCAGGCTTCCCATCATAACACTAGTTTTCAGGGGTTTATTACTTTGCCATAGAAATTCAATTTTTTATTTTTATTTTTTATTTTTTTGGTTTTTCATCACTGTGAGCAGAACCTCGGCCTGACAGCATACACATCCTTGAATTAGTGAAGAGCAATTAAATGAAACAGCAGTCCTCATAGACCTAGCTGTGTCAAGGGATGAAGAAGGATTTCAGAAACAATTTAATTATGGTTTTATAATCATTGATACTACTTAACTGTAGAACAAGTTAAGATTTTGCAGAGCCAATGAAATGAAAAAGGCAGGCTTGTCCTCCCATGACAGTACCCCGTCCTTTCTTTCTCTTCTCTGCTTTTTACTGTTTCCTTTTCCTCACCCCTCATCTCCACTGCTCCTTGTCATTTCCCATCACGTTATCTCTGTCTTTGGAACATCATATCCTCGAGGCAAAAACTTTATCTCCTTATGTAAGTGTAAAACACTGCATACTGCTTTGGCACTTAGCTGATGCAAGAATGCCAGAAGAGCAGAACACCTTTAAGATGCCAAAATTTGCCTCCGAAAATCTCTACTGACATAGCATCAGAAAGGGTATTAATAGCAGAGTATTCAGTTCAGAGATGTGGCCAATACCAAAACCCAGGGTGTGCAGGTATTGCAGGGTGGGAGCCCCTCGCTGCTAGGTACGAAGCCAAGAGACAAATCGCCTCCGGTGCTCAGGTGTGTTGATACATCCCAGCAGCCAAACATCTGCATATCCTGGAGTGGTGGATAAGTTGAGATCTTAATTAAAAGAAACTAGGTGGTTAATTATTTTTTCAGTTTAGGAATGTGTTTTTGCTGGTGATTCCCAGCCGCTGCCCCATGGGTGGGCTGTGAGACTACCTCTGCGGGGCATCTGCGCTTACAGGGCTGCAGGTCCCTCCGATGTTGATGCTGGGCTGATCTCCTCTTCTGCAGGCAGAGGACACCCCCATGGCAATGGGCAACCAACACTGGCCCAGGGTGCCTCTGCAGGAGGCTGCAGCCCTGCCCTCTGCAGGGCTCCTTCCCAGCCAAACCTCACAGCCGCCTCTGAACCCTTCCCAGGTCACAATCACAAAAAGGAAAAATGCTGGCACTGTACAGGACTGCGCCAGCCTCTGCCAGCCTCTTCCAGAATCAGCGCTGGTGGAAGGCAGCTTTGTTTCATTGTGCTAACTGCATGTAGCAGAGCGACACGATGGAACAATCACAGGTCTCGGAGCAAGCTGTGCACTTCTAGACAGTCTTGTTTCACAGCCCGTGTGAAATAAGTACGGTGAACAAAGTTTGTTCAAACGTATGCATGGCCTCAATTCAGTCATACAAGCAGATTTTGAATATAATCTATTATATACATCACTTATACCAGTTTACATTCTGACTATTGTCAGACACACAAAAAAGGCCCCAAAAAATGATGCTAGAGGCTTTAGCCCTTTTCAGCACAGCCTTTTCCCTAATAAAGAGTCATTTAGGAAATTGTTGACAAGGTTTGACAGAAGACATCTGTCTGAACTGAATTGCCATTGGGTTTTGGGGGTTGTGTTTATTCAAAGTTTTGGGGGTTGTTCTTCACATCGGACAGTTCAAAAGAAGAGCTTTTTGCACAGATGTAGTGATATCATCGTATCTAGGCGATGTGTAAAAATGTGTATTACCAGATACATCCCAAAAGAAAGCCTTCTGCTTTGCCTAAGTGTTTTAGTAAACTGGAGATACTTTTTGCCTCTCACAGGGGTTCCTTAACAGCAGCAGAAATAAAAATCAATCCCTTCAGCTCCAGATGTGTGCAAACAGACCTTTTACTCCTGCCTTTCGTATTAGATGGTACTCTTTGTGCCAGCAAAACACCCCTGCACGATTATCTCCATGAAGCTGTCCTGTATGAGAATTGGTTTCGTAGGTTTCCTGGAAGGTGCTGGAGTTGGTAATTGCCACCTTCCCCTGGGGGTTATTCCCCAGGGGGTTCCTACAGGCAACTTCATCCCTGGGAATAAGTACAGAGGAGCAGATTTTCCAGGCCGATGGCCCAGCTCCTTTCCCTGAGGTTCTTGGAGCACACGTGTGATGGGAGCACCACCTCTTCCTTTCCTCTGCCAGCCTCCCTAACAGAAATGAAAAAATTCACCATTCCCAGCACCTATTTCCCATATAATTCAGTGTATTCATTGTGTGCATTTCCCATGTAATTTTCCCTTCCAACAGGCAATTTTCTTTCCTACTGGGAACACGTCTGAAGTGATTTTGTTAGGGAAAACTTTGTATTAGTGCGCAGTAATGCTAAGATGATTTATATTTGTGCTACAGCTCACTACCAGGCTCCAGCCCTCTTTTCAGATTTGTAGATATGTGCGTGTAGTGCTGCGGCTGCCCAGCCCAGAGAAGTTTCTCTGTGTTCTGTCACGCGTGAAGAACCTCTCGCTTTCCTTTGCTAATGAGCACAGTGTGTTTTTGTGGCTTCCCATTGTCACCGTGGTGGAAATTACCATTGTCTTGCCCTTTCTCTGAGCAACTCAGAGCAACTGAATAATTTTCTTTGATGCTGGTACCTTCCCGTTTTCCTGGTGGACTCTTGCTCAGCCCTAAACCCCATCCTTTCTCTTCTCAGAGATGCAGTTTCTCCTTCACCCATTTCCCACGGAATTGGGAAACGTCTCCCACATTTCAGTGGAGAAACATTCCCACCGGGACAGGACCACGTGGCAGAGCCAGACCGGCCAGGATGTCTGCTTCCATTTATGAAAATCTGATTGGGAGTTAATGAAACTCGGGGCTGCTTATTTCCCAACGCATTTGTCATGCCGATTGCTCATTGTCTGCTGATGGAGCAATGCAAGCTGCTGGCCTGCAGCAGCACAGCTCCGGGGTTGCTTACCCGGTGGTGGAGCCTGTGCTTCTGTGCAGGGGAGAGGAGCACCCGGAGCAAATGCTGGACAGCAAGTGGCGTGGCAGACATCCTGACCAGTGCCTGGTGTCAGCAGCAACGCTACATCTCCCAGAGGATGCTGAGGGAAGTGAAGCTGTCCTACTTGGTTTTCATCCCGTTGAAGGTTTACTGAGAAAGCTGAAGAGCACAGCGATACCTCGTTCAGCAGTAACAGCATGCTTCAGGGAGGTTCTTCAGAAAGTCCTTTTCTGTTTGCCTTTTTTTCTTTGTTCTTTTTTTTTTTTCTTTTTTTTTTTAATTCAGTGCATGTTGGTGTTTCTTTTGCTGGCCCAAAGCCCCCACATTTATCTTGTCCATAACATAAGGTGAGAAAAAATAGTTTAGCTTTTGCACTGGGAACGAGCACTAGGAAGCAATTTAATTGAGTTATTTCTTAAATCTGGAAACATTTTTCTGTTCACAGACTCCCTTGCCAGCATGGGGTAATTTTGCTTTCTTTTATTTCCAGTGCCCAACCCACTTAATTCAAGTGTTCGGAAAGCGGTAGCCTATAACAATTTTCTGAATCTTTATTCATGTTCTTTAATGAATTCCCTGATTCCCAGTGTGTGAAGCATGTAACAGCTCCCCTTGGGTTCCCTACACTGAGTTTATTTTGTCCTGGTAGCCCTCTGCTGGGGAAGCCTCTGCGTGCCTTCCTGGGGCAGGCAATGCTCAGCACCTCCCTGAGTGGGACGAAGTGCACGAAGCTGCAGATAACATTCATGCCATTTTTAATTAAACCTGTGGCCAGCTGGTGGCACTGAGAGTTGAAAGCAGGTTTCCTGATTTGATAAGACGCTTATAAAAAGGTGCTTGGCTTTGTAAAAAAAGGATCTTTCTTATGAAACGATTGAAATGGGTAAAGGTAAGCATATAGGGGCATGGTTTTATGGCTTTGAACACATGGTTTGTATTTTCATGGCTAAAGCTGATATTTTTTAACATTTCAACCTATGTCTGTGCCTTCTTTCTTTGTGACTTTTATGTCGAACTACATGAAGAGCATCACATAAATTAAACACAAAAGTGTGGAGATTTCAGTGCAATCATCAGAAATACAACTTTAGGTTATGTCAAAAGGAAAAAAGGGCAGGGTGTGGGGGGGGAAATCCTGTTCCTCTGGGTCACAAACCAAATGGCCGTGAACTAAAAATAATCTTTCTATTGTTCCCCACAATGCGAGCACAAATTAATATGCTAAGTCTGATACCACTAAAAGTCTGCATATATTCAATATGTTTGGATTTGTACTGGTGGCTTTATCTGGTCACTAAATTCAGCGGGCATAGATGTGTTCTCCCCGTACAAAACTTCATTTTCCTTACAGGAAAAGTTACCCCGAGAAATTTCATTTCTCCGTAATGAGTCCATTAAGTTAAGTGAAATAAATAATGAAAATTCCTTTTTCTTTTTTCTTTTCAGAATGGCCAAATGCCCATGATAAAGAGGCGTAACTAATTCAGTATCCTAAGGGCTTCCAAAGGGAAGAATAGGGCAGGGTGGGGCTCCTCAGCCCTACAGCCAGCTTACAGTGAGAAAAGCGGCTGGATAAAGGCAGGATTTAACACAAAGGTTGGGCTGGAATAATACCTTGCCACTGGAAGGAAGCTGAACCCAGTAGAAGTCCCTGGTGATGGAAGGAAGGGAGGTGCTGACACTACTGAGGGATGGTGGAGGAGCAGCAGATATCGCAGGGCTGGGAGAAGACCATCCCCACAGTGCTGGGCTGTTTGGGGATCTTTGGTCACTGGTCAGATTTGGTGTTTTCCTTGCACTCAGCAGCCCCTGAGGAAGGATGTAATTAGGTTCTGGAGTCCTACCTGGGTATTTGGGGCTGAGGAGCTGGTCAGTGTGAAGACCCCTGGGATGCAGTAAAAATACGCTGCCAGCAGCGTATTTTTAACCTCTTAGTCATGGATGGAGAGGAAGAAGGATCCTTGGCTAGCAGATGAAATACCATTTAAGTAGGAAATGTTGCACTCATCTGGTAAAAGCATACAGCAGTCAGACTGGCAAAACATTAAAACAAAGTCCTGTATTTTTTCCAGCTTGTTGCTTGCTCTCGTTTATGTGGAGAAAAGAGCCAGGAACGTGATCCTGCCCCAGCCGAGGCTACGCTGTCAGAGCAAGTAGAGGTTGCACCTTCCCTAATTTTCTCTTGCACTCAAAATTTTCCCTCTAGAGTTTTCCCTGCCTCTGCCAGGGCTCTGTACAGCCTCGGGCTGTGCTGGCTTATGGCAGTCTGGGGGAGGGAGACGGTGCATTTCCTTCATCTTGACACCTCCCTGTCTCTCTGTGTGTACTCTCTCAAGCTTGCAGAAGTGTCTTGATGTGAAGAGAGGTTAGAAGGAGGTGGGATGTCTCCTGTCGTCTGTGTTTGTCTGAGAAGTGGCAAAAAAGCCTCCTTCTTGCCTTTTAAGTTGGTGCTGCAGTTTCTGTCCTTGATGGTGGCAGTGTTGCTGAAAGCGGCTTTATTTGGGAGGTTCTTTGGCAAAGCCTTTGCAAAGCAGTAAATATTTTGTTACGAGTGGTGGGAAATTAGCAGGGTTTGTTGAGATACCTGGAGCCCTGCGTTAGCTCTGGGGGCCCCAGCACAAGAAGGACGTGGACCTATTACAGTGAGTCCAGAGGAGGCCACGAGGATGGTCAGAGGGGCTGGAGCACCTCTCCTCTGAAGCCAGGCTGAGGGAGCTGGGGTTGTTCAGCCTGGAGAAGAGAAGGCCCCAGGGAGACCTCACAGTGGCCTTCCAGTGCCTAAAGGGATCTGGGGAAGGACTCTTTGTAGTGATAGGACAAGTTTTAATAAAAACTTTAGTTTAAAATAGTTTTAAACTAGAGGAGTAATAGTCTTAAACTAAAAGAGGGTAGGTTTATATTAGATATTAGGAAGAAATTCTTTGCTGTGAGGGTGGTGAGGCACTGGAACAGGTAGCCCAGAGAAGCTGTGGATGCTTAGGCAGAGTGGGATTTTTTCCTTGAGTGGATATGGAAGGTGGTCCTTTTTGTGGTAGGGTTTGTGTAACACCTCTAGGAGATGAATATGAGGTTCTCAGAAGGGAGATGACTTCTCTTGGGGAAAAAATAAGGATGGTCTTGCTAACTATTATGAAACATAGCAGGGTTTTAACACAGAGGTCATTATTTAGCTAGTGACTGTTCAGAAGAATATAACTATAAAGCTACCAAATGATAGCTCAGGGAGACAAAAGAGATGTGCACCATTTGCTTTAAGCTTGTAATTTGAAAGCTGGTGAAATTGGTGATGCAATGGGGCAGGTATTTTGGCTCCAGTTGCTGGGATGTTTTCCCAGAAGACCCAGAAATATGCCTGTGTGTTCATAGAGTGGCACATTGGAAAGTACAGAACTTGGGGGAGATTATTTCATACCTGAACTAGACATAGAAGAAATAATGCTAGTTCATCTCAAAGAATAATTAGCTTTAAGTCCTAATGATGTTGCAGAGCGCCTTTGGGAGAGCCTATGAAAACTTGTTGCTCAGTGGAAATAGTTTCAGTACGTCCCGTGGCCATGCAGGAGCTGTAACCTCATCCGTCACAAGGTGGCTCCGAGTCTTTGCCTGTCACATCTGGGGTTGTGTTCCCGTAGCCCAAAAGGACACGGCCACCCAGTGAGCCTTTATTTTTTCTTAGGAACAAGTTTTAGCTTTCCTCGCTCACCCTGGGGTGTTCTGCAGAGTGTGCTGGTTTCCCTCTCTCTCTCTCATGAACTGCAAGCATCATTCTTCGGTCCTGCAATCACATCCGCGGCTCCACCTGCCAGCTGCCACCATCTCTCTGAAGAGGAAACAAATTTCCCTGTTAACTTGGGAGCACACATCTCCTGAGTAATGCTTTCTGACCAGGGCAACCTGGGCCAGGAAGGGGGATGCTGTGCAGTGAGCTCCTGTTCATTAAAAAGAATCAAAATCAGCCTTCTCCTGTCTGTGCTGCTTTTTTTCAGGCAGGCTTACCCTATCTGAAAAACAACTTTGATCCTAGACAAATCTTAGGATAAACCACAAATATGTCTGCTCTGGAATAAATCTACCTGGTGTTCCTGGATTTACATTCATGAGGGCTTAGCTAACACTAATTAATTTGGAATAAATTAACTCAAGTTGGAACAAGGCCATAAATTCTAGTCCAGATTTGTACCGGGTGTTATTTAACTATGTCTTTCAGCATATCATACGTATTAACATAATTTTATGCACATACATATTTATACATACACATGCACATACATATTCCTTAATGCTTTTTTTGCTGTCTGTCTTCTAGGTTCCAGTGAATGGGCAGCTTGTAACGTCAGCCAACATCAGAGAGAAAAAGCTTCTTAAGGTACCAGTAACAGCGTCAGAGTTTATATAACATCTTTCAAGAGAAATTTGTTTTAAGAATGTTGCTTATTTGATATTTTTAAAGACAATTTATTGTTCCTGTTGATGGAGAAGTTAAGAGTGAGGAACATAACACCGAGTAACACTCTGGCATGGTCACACGGTGGTGCTTGTTACTACAGCCACAGGTGGGATGATCTCATAGTCTGCACCCCAAACCAGGAGCTAGAATCTCCTGTATTTCGGCTCCAGCTCTGATACGGGACATTTCCTTGTGTCTGGGCAAGGGTCTTATCTGGGCATAGTGCACTTGTACTGGTAGGGAAGAAAGTATTCGTGCTTTACAGCCACTCTGCCTTCACAAGGAGCAGCCCTCAGCCTGGGCAGGAGGCATGTTGATGGCAGGGAGTATCCCACCTGACAAAAGTCAAGAACCAGTGTGTTACATCTAAAACATGCAAATTTCAAGGCTTAAAGGTAGCTCTACTGTTTCACCAAGCCATATGAAAATGGCCTGAGCCACTGCTGCGTCCTTCTACATCAGTGACCACTACAGATACCTTCATTAAAAAATAGAGTATTGGATATCTTTTTTTTTTTTTGTTAATCATAAGCAACGTCTTAATGTTGATTTCAGAGTTACTGATTGGAAAGGGGGGAAATAGTTACAGGTTTTCCTCCTTTATTGTCTTCAGAATGATAAATGCAAATCTTTCTTTAGAGCAGGTGGCTGAATTACAATGTGGGCTTTCTAACCTGGCAGATAAGTCTACTTTTGTAGGACAAAAGTTGTTTCATTAATGAGCTTGGAGTTTGCAATAAAATGTGCTCAGGACCAGCTTTGTACCCACTTACAGAATCCAGCAACCTCGTGCTCTCTCTCGGAGTAGCAGTGTGTGTTCTCCATTTTAAAACTATTGTCCTGACTCCTTCATGATGAAATGTAACAAATACCTGTTTGATCTTTCTGCTGTGCATCTTCTGGATGCTGTAGCCTAAGAAGAAGAAGAAAGCCCAGTGCTCAGACAAGGAGGTGTTGAAAGATCTGATTCCTGTGGAAAAATACAAGCTGCAAGAGGAGGAAGGTAAGAAAAGTTGTGGTTATTCTGTTATCTGATTGATATTACCAGAAAACAACATGGGATGAAATATTTTAAAAGAGAGGCATTCTCTACTGTTTTTGTGTTCTTCGTCAATGGGAAAAATATCCAGTTTGAGAAAGTCTTTTATCATCTGCTCATTTCTACGTGTAACTACACAGATGGGGGCTGTGTTCTTTCCTGCCACACTTCTCAGGTCCTTCCTGCATTCACAGAGATGGCAAATCTGTGGATGAGAAAGCATATCTGAAGTGGCCAGAGGTCCACCCGGGAGCAGGGTCCTGTCTTTCTGCTCTTGCTCCAATCCTGTGGCTTTTGCCGTGCTGATCCACAGCAGGAGCTGTGGTCTTTCCAGGCAGCTTTTTGTTGGGCCCACGGACGAGGCTGGAAAAGGCGCATGGATAACACACAGCCAATTCCTTACGCCCGTGAACAGAGCCAAGATCTTTGGTTACAAGCAAAGCTGCAAAGAAACCTGGCAGAGGCTAGTGTGGATCAGGCAGCTGTAATTTCACAGGAAAATACGTAACACTCCATTCTTGCCTGTTAGTCTCCCCCCACCAGGGGTCATATTGAAAACAAGCAAATCTAAGCTTTTCTGGGCTTAAAAGATTATAATGTGATTAGTGTGCTGGTGAGAGCAGGAGAAGCCCTCGCTGCTGCTGGGCTGGAGTCCTCCCTGCGGGCGCTTGCGTCAGGAGCAACGAGTGCCTGCAAGGGCACAGGAGAATGATGGGAAACAGCAGAGGCTTTCTTCAAAGGGCTGTTTAGTTTTTTTGGACAGATGAACCAGCTGAACTGTTTCATGTGTTCAGGGATGTTTAGAGAAAGATGTTTGTCTCAGTGAAATCGGGGGACGGTGTTTTTTTCTTCGTTAACCGTTCCTGGCAGGCCCTCCTGTCGTGTCGTAGCTTGTGGAGAGCAGAGCTGAAGGCAGAGCGTGGCCTGACTGGTATGAATGAGTGCGCGTGGAAGTCAGCTGGATGGCAGTGGGTCTTCACATCACACACCAGGTCTGAGGGTACGCTCAGGGCTAGAGAAGGTCAGGAAATCGAAGCCGTGTTTGATGGTTAAGCTCTTCATGAACTTCCCTGTGCTGTCAGACGTACGAGGCTGTTGATGCTCTGTTGTGACATCTCCCCCGAGGGAAAGGGGTGTCGCATTATCAGGCTGACACAATGGACAGAAGAATCTGTGCAGTTACATGAGTCAGGACACATGACAGACAGGTTTGCGACGGGGATTTCTTATGTAACGTGGCCTGTGTTTCTGCAGAGGCAGCAAACACTGTGCAGGGGAGATGCTGCATGTGAACAGGCAGCACCGCTGCAGGGGCACTTTTACAGCCAGCATGGAAAATGAACAGAGAACACTTTGCCTTGTAAGCAGTACAGGCAGAAGAGGAAGTTTCTTGTTAACTTAAGATGAGTCACAGTGACCTTTGCTCTCTGTTGTAGGTGACTGGCAGACCAAGATCAGCAGCCGAGAAAAGAGACACTTAAGAAAGGAAAGGCTGAAACAAAAAGGTAAATTTACAGGCTGCGGAGAGTTTGCACACCTGATCTGACTGGGCTTCTTACTCCTTCTAACTTCCCAGAGTCTTTCTGTTTGCTCTGTTCATCATTAGACAGCAAAATCTTTGCACACATTTAGACTGCTTACTTATAATCATAGAACAGAATCATTCAGGTTGGAAAAGATCTCTAAGATCCACTAGTCCAACCTTTAACCTAGCACTGACAAGCCCACCACTAACCCACGCTACCAAGTTCTACATCTACGTGTTTCTTGAAGACCTCCAGGGATGGTGACTCAGCCACTTCCCTGGGCAGCCTGTTCCAACACTGCACAACCCTTTCAGTAAAGAAATTTCTCCTAATGTCCAACCTATACCACCCCTGGCACAACCTGAGGCCATTTCCCGTCATCACTTGGTGCTTGGGAGAAGAGCCTGATCCCCACCTCGCTACAACCTCCTTTAAGGTAATTGTAAAGTACAAGAAGATCTCCCCTGAGCCTTCTCCTACTCAGGAAAAAAACAGGTTGGCGAGCCTTGTGTTCTATTCCAGGCTTTCATTACAACACATATTATTAACCACAGGACTTTGAAAACAAATGTCCATTAGATCAGAGATCTGCTAAAGGTGTGGTGTGATGGGATTAGTTCGTTCTGTGCTACTTGACAAAAGATGTTTTCTAACAATGGATGTAAACCTGCATTATATGCCCAGTTCCAAACAGATTCCTTATTTCAGGGCTGCCCAGAATAAACATCTATAAAAGCAAAATGTACTGTTATCTTAATGAGATAAAATAGAGCAGCATTATGCACTCACACCACTCTTTTCCTGTGGGGATTTCAAAGTGTCCGCCATGCACTTATGCCTATATACATTGCTACTGGTTATGTTATTATGACTGCTGTATAAAAGCACGTCATGGAATTAATATGTTTAGAAATGTCTTGATAATTTAATTATCTTTGTTAAAACCATTAGTATAATGGAGAAACCTATGAAGTTAAACATATTAGAGCAATTTAGAAGCTAAGAAATTTGGAGTTGGGACACACAGCTGGGTAAATACGGATGTTTGTGCCCTGTCAGCAAGAAGACATTATCTTAAAGTACCTCAGAAGCCCTGCTAAAATTGAAGATCGGGGCAAGTAAACAGCAAATTTTGATCTAAAAATACGCAGACATTTTGGGACCACTTTATCATCTAGATTACAGAAGCCAAGGGTTAGATATCTGCATGACAGTTTCTAAGGGCTTGAAGTGCTGAGGTCTCCAGCAAAGCGTAAGGGCTCACACTTGGCTTTGTTCACGTCAGTTGGCCTGCTGGCACCAGCGGTGCTGGCTGCCTGTGCAGAAGGAAGTGAGCATTAACTCTAAATCCACGCAGGTGTATGTGCTTTGCTGGCCCAGGGTGAGGGAGGGAGCTCAGAGGACCAAGCTGCAGTCGAAGTCACTGGTTAGGTGCAGGAACCTTTGCTGTGCAATGGGTTAATTCAGCTGATGGTGCTGGTCCCTCTTAGTGATAACATTTACAGAGCAATGAAATCTGCTCTTCCCACTTCCAGGAAGAAGCCCTAATCCTGCTGAGTGCTGACGGCTCTTTCCCAGCAGGGAATAAGCAGCAGCAGCAGCATTAAGCTGTGTGAAGGTGGGGTTGATGTCAGCACTGGTCCCCTGCCCACCAGAACATCAGAAGAAGGCTTTGCTATTCTGATGGCTGGAGTCATAAAGTGCTTTGGGAGTCCTTTGGAACAAAAGATGTTGGAGATAATTGTCATGATTTCTACTGTGTGTATGCCTAGCACTGATTTCTCAGCAGACTTGGACTACCAACATCCAAGATGTTTTCTTTCCTTTCGCTTGGAAGTCTTGCTGTCCTCTTTCGCTCCCTTTACTGTTGTGGGTCCCGAGCGATGCCCAAGGTCTCTAAATAATTTCATCATGAATCTGGACATTATGTCTGATGCGTTTGGATCAGGCTTTCTTTCCCCTGTATAAACTCTCTGTTGTAATTAAGAATGCTCATAACCCTGTGATAATGTTTATTCCCAAGAAGACGCCAGCAGAGCATCACAGGGCAGCTCGGTGGCTGAGCCGGCCTTTGACTGGGATGAGAAGGGAACGGGGTGGCCACTCGCAGAGGACACTGGCCGTGGAAAAGGTGCTCTCATCACCAGGGCAGAGCGTGGGACTGTGCTAAAGGCCTCAGAAGCTACCAGAGAGGAATCTGTGCCCTCCCAGTCAGAAGAGGATGTGTTTTCCAATGTAGGTGAGTGCCTATGTTCCTAGAGGGAGCATTGTAGAGGGAAAATTTCATGAGTTAGTGTGTCCTGCAGCGTACATTGCCTCGGAGAGTCCTGCCTGCTGGCATTCATCCTGCACACATGGCATTGTCCGCTTGCATTGAACCCTGTTAGCCATCCTTTATTCTCTAGCATGATGGCAATATGAAAAGAGAAGTGTTTGGCACAGGAATTTCTCCTGTATTGCAGACTACCTAGTGGGTGTATGCAGCTTTCTAGCCACAGGTATTTAGCGTTTGGTTCCTTTGTAAAGTCCAAGGTTGCACACACATGATCAGAGTTAGGCTTTGGGTATATCCAAAGAAGTATGGGGCAAGGTATTCCTAAATTAGCTTGGGTATTTGACAGTTGGCAGCAGTGTGTTCATGGCAGTGCTGCGTTGTACTGACACAGTTTCCCAGCTTCCCAGCTGATTAACCCAATGTTGGTATCCAAACAAAATCACCAAAAGCTACTGCGAGTCTCCTGGTTGTGCAGCTGGGACAATCTCTGTATAATCTAAGCTGAAGGTGGAAGTTGTGCTTTTAAATATTCAGACTCCTTTAAGGCAGTGAAGGGATGGCTTGCCAGGCCAGTAGGCTAAAGATCAAGAGATGATATCAGCTTTCTCACTGGTGTTTGATGACTTTTCTTTTCCATCATGGCTTAGTTTTTATGGCAAAGCCGTGTCTCACATTGCATTTTTACTGTGGGTGATCCTGCAGATTCCAGAGCAGCACTAATAATTAATAACTGGGTGGAAATTGGACCTTTCTATCTTTTAGACTCTCTTCCTAACTTCTTGGGGGTGGGGGGTTACAAGTTAAAATAGTTAATACTGCTTTTTGGTTAATTTCCAAAAGCATTTGGTTTTCATTAAGATCTCACTGATTGATCAAGCTTAATGACTGGATTGATTGGTGTGTAAGGCCATACAACGACTCACCTTCAGTAGCAGTAATCCTGGACTCTGGTGGTTCAGAAAGTGGTCTTAGCTTGCCCTTACATTGGTTGCTTTCTTTGCTGGAGTCCTTCCTTTTGCAGAGTACAGGGTCGATGGCAGAAGGTCACTGGTACCATTTTTCACTCTCTTGCCTTCAGAAGGCCAAACTCTGGGCTGATGTCTGACAACAACCTCTGCCAGTTGTGCACGAAGGGCAAAACAGTCCAAAAGAGTGAGGAATTTGACTAAGTCCAAAGAAACGTGCTGGTGTGACGTGCACTTTGAAGTGATGAGAAGGTGTAAATAGCACCTGGGCTGGACCCTTTGTCCGTAGAAGATAATTTCTCCTTGATTCTTTAGCAACAAAAGTGGCTGCAGGATGGTGAGAACATGGAAAGAGATGGCGAGTGTCAGGCCGAAACTGCAGTTGCCAGCTGTGAACATGACACCACATTTTGTGTTACTGGTTGTTTGCTTTCTGAAATGCAGGAACGTGGGACATTGCAGAAGTAAAATCCTGTCCTTTGACCTCTGGGACATTAATAGAGCTGTCAAAGGAGTTAGGTGAGTGCTCTCTCTGTGGTCTTTTTTTTATTGTTTCCTTCAAAGTTCTTCTTGTGCTCTGTTAGATGCTTGGCTTAAAAGTACTCCTGTTGGTCATATATGGGTCTTTTCCCTCACAGCCACGGTTTATTAGTCACTCTCTCTTTTATAGCTTGCTCACATCTGCAGCCCAGTGCACCAGCCTTTTGAGGAGTGATGTCAGAATGTATTACTGAATGCTTTCCAAACCGTTGTTTATTGGAATAAATAAAAAAAAAAGCCTCCCCTTTACTTCTTCCCCCCCCCCCAGCAAATTCCTTCTCAGTTAGATTTACTCACACAGAAGATTTGCAATAAGTTTTGATGACCAGCAAATTCAGAGAATTTCAATGCGAGGGAGGGAGCAAATGCCGAGGCCGGAGGGGCCCTGTGAGAGGTTGCTTAGCCAGCAGTTTCCTCTCCTGTGCAGCAAGAGATTTTCAGCTCAAGCCTCTCCATGCATGGTCTGGAGAAGGAAGAAGTGTCTCCTGGGCTTTGCATTAATCTTGGGCCCAGTTTTTAGTTTTCCCTTTGCCTCTTTGTAACCGTCAGTACCTCTCACTAACCAGCTCCAAGTGCTTCTATTGTGATGTGATGCACGCACCTGTTCTGTACACTCTGATAGTTATTTCTGAAAGAAATATGAAGATTCATTCATATGCCATCAGCCTGCCTGAAACTGAAATTCTTCTGGAGGTCTGAGCGGTTGATGAGTGCAGAATCTGATCCTGAATGGTTCTGAGATGCTAAGTGCAAGCATAGATACACAGAGATGGACATCCGTGCACAAAACGTAGTTTGTGTGAAGTAAGCCAGCACAATGGAATTCAATTTTAAAGCCAAACATTAGAGTCAATGTAATGCTTGTCATATTTGGTCATCTGTTTTCCAACACTGCATCAGCAGAATGAAGCAGTTCCTCATGTAACAAGTACAAGTATTTACTAACATATGCATTTGTGCAGCAAAAAAATCAAGCTGATACTTGAGAAAAACTGCATAAACAAGGGGATTCTTTAAGTGAAAATAAGAAAGAAAAAAATCAAAAAGATGTAGAGAAAAAATTGGTTGTGTATGAAAGATATGAAGAAAATGCTAGTCTGTTATGTACTGGTGTTAGAAAGGGGCTGAATGAATTCATTCAGGGAAACGTGTGAGTCCTAATGGTTACTTTAGTTGCTGAAAATAATTATCCAAAAAACATTTAACTCTTTTTTTTTCCTCCACCAGCTCTCTCTTATCTGTGCTCTTTCTCTGAGTAATTCATTTGGTATTTATGGCTTTATCTGAATTACTGTTAGAGTGAGCAGAAGTTTTCTCACTAAAGTCTGTGGGAGTTGGAGCTGGCTTCACTTCATGTAGCTTTTGTGCTGTTGGATCTGTAACTCCCTTTTTACATGCTCAACAGAGATTTGTTGGAATTCGTATATCTCTGAATAGTATTAGCGTAGCCACTCCTGAGCGGGTTGTTTTTAATAACTTGTGTGTAGTGTCCTCGTCCAGCCTTCTTTAATAAATCCGCTGTGATGAGCAGCATAGATTAATGTATGGATTAAATTACATAACACCCAGGCATCGTGGCATAACATGCTGATAAAGACACAATTAATTAGTTTTAATAACATGAATATAGCTATGTGATTATCTTTTAGTTTTTTTCTTCTTTTTTAATTTATTTTTTTAGAAAGCACGTTTTTCCTGCATGCAGATAATATAAAGAGTAAATCTTCTGAGGACAGTCCTTCAAGATGCTGCTGGAGCACCAGCTTGACTTTCCTCCCAGCAGACGATGTATGGCAGGAGCAGGGTACGTCTGCTTGCTCATTTGCCAGTGAAAGAGGGTACACTAATGCCGATACCCTTTTCAGACTGTTTTATAAACTGCAAAAATCAGGGCCCACTTTTATAGCTGCTCGTTCACATGAGGCTGGCAGAGGTGAGAGTGAAACTCAGGTTGGGTCTGATTATGGGCAGGTGCCCAGAACTGCTCTATGCTCATAGCTGCAGACACCCTGTGTGGCACCCTTGAGAATGGTGAGAACGTGTACTTTATTTGTGTTTTTACCTAGATGGAGACAAAAAAAAAGAGAGGAAGTAGGTATAGTCTTGTTTTGTGCGTGCATACTGCTGTGCAAAGTATAATTAGAGCTTCTGGGCAGCAAGAGCAGCTGCAGTAAGACTGAGGGCTCCCATAGACTGGTGTCCTCTCTCCTACAGTTGTACGTAGCAGCTGCTGGCAGACAGGCTCAGGAACAGGTCAAGCATAGAGCAATCATTCCCTGTATCCATCTCCACACCCAGCGGAGAGTGGTTCAGGGACATCCTGAGCCAGAGGCAACAATATGGGCTCTGCATTTCAAAAAAAATAAAATAAAATAAAAAAATCCAAAACACGTGTTAGCAATCATCTCAGATTACAAAATTTTCAAAACAAAGTTAGGTTTGGTTCTCATAACTGAAGCATTGCATCTCTCCCTCTCCCATGGTCCAGCTGGGAAGGTGGAGCTGAGCAGCCTCCATCCAGGCAGCTGCCAGCCCAGTGGGGTTGCTGGTGTTGGGCTGTGCGTGGGCCATGTCCCTGGGGAGAACAGGGAACTGCTGGAGCACAGGGTGCTTTTGTCAAAACTTAAATCTCCTTAAATCCAGAGCCCACATGGGGCACCTTGAAGCACAGGACAAAACACCAGTGTATGGTGGCAGCTGGGACTTCAGTCTTTTTAAGACTGGTAATTTTTTATTTATTTTTTTAACTTTTCTCTGTTGGAAAGGCCAGGGTAGATCCTGAGTGCTGGAATGATTTGGCATGAACAGTATGAGCATTAGGTGCCCTTTTCTGTTGACCTTTCGGTCAGGATCGAGTGCGGTATCTATTTATACCCCTGTTGTTGGGAGACCTTACCCTGTTCTTGCAGGAATGGTGGCTGCTGAGTGCAGTCGACCCCTTCTTACTCTTGCAGCCCTGATTAGCTTAATTAAAGGAGCACCCAAAGCGGATGAAAGCAGAGAAGAGACAAACCTGCAGTTGTCTTGTTTCCCTGCCCAGCAGTAACTGAGATCCTGCAGCAGACATGTGAGCTTGGCCATCAGAGGGTTTTATAAATAACATTATTTGCTTTAAAATAAATAAATAAATAAGGTATTCTCCTCCCTTGGTGCAGTGTTTGTTGACCCCTGTGAGGCTGCCAGGGAGCGCCAGGCTCTTTGTAATTCCTGAACCCAGGCTCTCTGGTGCAGGCAGGCGGGAGGCAATGCCGGCAGCTCTTCAGCAACGTGTCCATGGATTGCATTTGGCACACATCACCCCTGGCGTGCCCTGGGTTTGCTCTGCTGGGTTTTGCACAGCTCCTCTTTTTTCAGCAGAGCGATGCCACATCTCTCCAAGAGCAGAGCGTACGGGGGCAAATTCAGCTGCTTGCTCCTGCAAATGTCTAAGCAGATGCATTTTGATTGAAAGCAGGACTGGGAGGTTTTCTGCCTGCCTTACAGCTTTCTCCTAAGTAGTAGGAGGTTTTTCCCTTTGAATCATCAGCCTTGATACTGATGTGGAGGGGAGTGTCGCAAACATGTATTCCCTGAATTTGGATGAGGTAATGGTTGGCAGTAAGGCCTGCGCTGCAGGCAAAATGAGCTCTTTGACAGTCAAACAAGGCCTGTTAGCTCTTGCAGGCCTGTGAACTAAAAAAAAAATAAAAAAAATAAATGCCATTCATAACCTGAATATGAGCTGGGGTCGTTTTATCAAACCCAGATCAGAACAGTTAATGAGTCTCTTTGTTCGGTGGCAAGGCCGAGCAGAGCAGGGGGAGCGGGAGGCCGGGCGCCATCTTGTGAAGTGCCAGTGACAGCAATGACAGTCATGGGGGCTCTGGGGCTTACCTCTTGCTGCAATTAAAGCATATAGACAGAGAGGGCTGCAATTCAAAGTATATATACCTATGGGGAGAGAGGGAGAGAGGTAGCTGATGGGGGAGTACAGAAGGTGAAGCCAAGCTCTTCTTGGTGGTGCCCAGTAAGACAAGAGGCAATGGACACAGAGGGAAGTATGGGAAATTCCAGGTTTTTGTTTTTTTTTTTATGGTGAGAGTAATTAGGCAGCAGAATGGATTGCCCAGAGAGGTTGTGGAGACTCCATCCTTGGAGGTATTCAAAACCTGCCTGGATAAGGCCCCAAGCAGCCTGCCTACCTGACCTGGTTGTGAGCAGCAGGGTAGGACTAGATGACCTCCACAGGTCCCTTCTGAACTCAGTGGTTCTGTAATTCTAATTCTGTCCTCAGTCATCAGCTCTACATACTCAAACAATTAGTCCCTAGCAATCTTACCCTTAATTAGCTAGAGGTATTCAGTATCTTGGAGCTGGAGCCACCTGGTTAACACTGATGGCTCTAGTCCATGGTGATCACAGAGGTGAGGTGGCCAGGCTCACAGGATCTTCGATGAGGAAATGGGGTGCTGAAAGGACAACATATTTCTTCCTCATTTTTCCTTGCTCACCATTAGCATTTGCATGTTTTTCATCTGTGCATGTGAAAGAGGAGAAAGGGGGTGAAAATCTATTGCGCTCTTGGCATAGTTCGCTTTGTTTCCAGGCCCGGGAGTTGTTCCAGTTTTGCCAGGCATCTTTCCTGCTTGCTCTGCAGGGTTGTCCTGGTTCCACCAGACATCTTTTTTGCCTGCCCTTCCTCCTCCGCTTTACCTCGTGGGCTTTACTGCTTGCATGCCTTTCCCAATACTGTCTCTTACCACCAGTCTCCCTCTGCCCCTTTGGTGACGTATTTTGTACTTCTGCTTAGTTGTCTCTCAAAACACATATGTTGTGGCTGCTGATGCTGTTACAAAATGTGTAAGTTGCACAATGCTGCTGGCGGGGTTGTGTTAGAGCTCTGATGTCTGGTTTTAAGGCAAGAAAATATGAATTTTATTGCATGTTTCTGCTACCAAGTGCAGAGGGCTTGTGCTTTGGTGACAGCCTGCAAGGCTACTGGTCTGTCAGGGCAGTTTCTGAGAACTGGCATCCGTCTTCAGAAATGCAGCATGTCCATCTCATTACCATGAAGGCTGGCTTTTTACCTGTGACTTGGCATTTTCCCAACAAATTTGTCTCATTTGCTGAGGCACATTTTCCCTGGGATCTTCAGAAAGCTTCCGTGTCTCATGACTTCCTTCCTTCTGTCCTGGGGTTAAACTGAATTTTAATACCTTGGTTTCATGTGAATAAGCAGCTTCTTTGGATTAAAAGTCTTCAGTCTGGGATTCACTTGATACTTTTGCATCTTCTGAATTATACTAGAGGAAGATGCCAAATGAGGAACTCTACACCCAGCTGGTAGGAGCAATAATTTCTACCTGTAAAATTTCTACTGTAAATGTAATCTTTCAGCTGGAAATCGCCTATCCATGTGCACTGAATGGTTTCCATGTGCAAGAGCTCAGCAAAGATTTGGGTAAGGACCACGTACATTACACAGCCACCTGCCCTTTACAACACCAACCACAGAAGGATTCAGCACCATAGACAATAAATAGTCTATAGAGGATTTTGCTCTGCCAGATGAAGACCTGCTCTCCCTTAGGTTTCTACCGACCCTAATAGAACAGAGAATGCCCAAGAGAGATCCTGACAGCATATAGTCCCAATGCTACAACTCTGGACTAAAAAAAAAAATTAATCTTCTTCTTGGTGACACAAATTGACTTTTGCAGAAGTACTTTCTGGCTTAATTTTCCAGGCCAGGTAATAAGGCTCAGCCTGTAGGATGCTCTACCCTACCCTCTCTATCCATTGACACAGGGAATCTTCTGACTCTTCCCTTTAACCAGACGCCACTGCTGGAAGGGAACACACTGAAGAACAGGAGAGGTTTTAAAACAGAGCTCTGGGTTAAACACATTTAATCCTATTTTCCCACCAAATTAAACAAACTGTAAAGAGTCTTATATTGCATTTAGTTTTACTCTGAGTTGAGTTTAAACACCTCCAGGACATAATGCTTTGGGAAGAGCAATTCTGAGACAAGACAGAGTCACCGCTGAGCTTCATGCCTACCCACATGGTGAGGGCAAAGCATGAACGCAAGGCCATTGCGGGAAGTTGGCCATTAAAACTATTCTATGCTTAAAAATAAGTACATAAACAGACCGAAAGATCGGAACTTAAAAAAGCAATAGTGCCAGCTGTGGCCTTCAGCGAGTGTTCCTCTAGTTACAGCCCGTTTTACTTGCACGCCCACGAGAGCATCGCTGCCAGCAGCTTGGGAGGGACTGTGATTCCTGAAGACTCTGTGCCATTGTGCTGGTCTGTGTGTAATGCCGTGCACCTCCCTGTTAGCCAGAATTTGCCTCCTCTCTGGCAGCAGCAGCATGATTTTGCCTATTGTTTTGCTGCCACGGCTCGCAAGCGGTATATTAGTGCAGAGGCAGAGTCTGCAGAGCTGGGACTTGCTGTGTCCTCACCCCCACTTGCTGTTGGGACTGGAGATATTGGGTGGAGCGTGCCCGCTGGTATTGCCTTCAACCACTGCAGTTGAATCCTCCAGAATTTGAGCCCAAATCTCATGTAACCTAGATAGAAGGAGCAGAAGTTTTTTGGTGATGGTATCCCCTACTACAGCTTGCACAAAGTGTTCTTGACACGTACAACTTACTCATGTATGTTGTGTCTCTCTCTAATCTAGATGCATTCATTTGCCTGAAATACTGGTATTTTATTGGGAAATAAATTAGAAAGTACTTGTTCCTGTCCCTTCTGAAGGAGGAGGGAAATGCTGTCTGTGTATAGGGGATGGTTTTTAAGCTGAGAAGTTGAGCAATGTTTATAATCATGTTTATAAAATTTGGCAGCAAACTGGATAGAGCAGCCTTTTGGAAACAGTTGTCTTTTATCATCCCCAGCATGCTTTTGGTTTTGGCCCTGCTTCAACTAGAAGTTTTTCCATCCAGCTTGGGATTTTTTTATATTTGTTTTTATTTTAAGAGACGTGATCAGCTAAGAGTTATTATTATATGCTGTGTTCTCAAAGTCTTTCTCCCTGTTAGGATAAGACTTAAGATTGTTAGACATGACCCATTAAAAAATAATCAAGTGGTCCTTTCAACATCTCATGCTGATTTATCTGCTTTTTTGCAACTCATTCAGTTTGGGCAAAGAAATTAGACTGCTCTGTTTTGCTTTCTTGTCTGAGAATCATTTGCCAGTGCTTTGTGGAGAGGCAGCTGAAGGCTTGAGGCCAATTTTTTAAAGTAACAGATGCCTGAAGATACAGAAACCTAAAAGGTTTTCAAAAGTTTTCTGCCTGCCCACCCCGAAATGATCAAAATCAAAGCAAAGTAGGTGTTATCTACTTAGTGCATGCTCAGAGTTGCATGTCAGGGAGCTCTGGAAATCTACACCACGATGGTGCCTTTCTGGCTTACATTCAAGAAAAAAAAATGGAAGAGGAAGCTGAAGTCAAGAATGCACTTGGTACTTTTGTAGAAAAGAAAGCACCAACAAGAGCACTAACAAATGCACAAATCCTTTACTAATAGTACTCTTCCATACAAGTAATTGCCCTGAGGACAGTGTGTTGCAGCCAGTGGAAGAGGAGATGGGCTGAGAAACAGTCCTGCTAATAAAATGTAGCACTGAGCCTGCAGTCTCTGCCAGTGTTTCTGGATATGCCTGAATCCTTCTTCCTGAAATTAAAAGAAAATGTTTGACAAGCCGTGCTACTATCATTTTGGTAAAGCTTGTTTTACTGAAGCACAGGTTGAAAGGGCTTTTGTTGTCGCTAGATTGTCTTTTTCTTCCCTTCTTTAATTTTACTCCTGTCCCAAAGAATGCAATCACTTACTGTGATTAGAAGTTGGCACTTCCTTTCTAAAAATGCATTTAAAATTCATGTTCATGCGTGCACACCCAACCACCCCATCAGCAGGCAGGAAAGGTGACAGATATTCTTTGCAGTGTTTCCATTACTAGTATGAGTCTGGGAAGTTGTACGGATTTGAACATGACTCATGCATGTGGTTTCCTTAGCAGATGATCCTTCAGTGATTGACCTGGACTCTGACTGGAAGGCTCCCACAGAAGAGTGGGGAAACTGGACAGGAGATGAGGAGCATCAGACAGGAGATGAGAGAGAAAAGGTGAGGCGGTGGCACTGGTGACCGAGGGAGAACTTCTGTCTTTGGGATCGTTCTTCTGATCTCATTGTGGCAACCAGAGCTCTCAGGACATGTGGGATGGGGTGGCTGGTTCTGGGAGTTTACCATCCAGGTGGCACTGCTGTTCTAAACAATACTGCAAAAATGAACTCTTTCTCCTGCAGCTGAGTTTACTGAATACCTGGGTCTTAGCAGGTTTAGAGTCCACTGCTAACACCAGCCTTCACACCATCCCAGGGGGCTCAGATCTATTTATTTAAGTGAGAGGATTTGTTGGTAGTAATATGGTCATAGCTTGGGTGGAGAGATGGAAGCACAAGGCTTCCATCTAGCCACTTTCTAGAAACCCAGGGAAACAGCCCTCCCTGGCAGCAGTGGGGAGAGTGTGCAGAGCTCTTTGCAAACAGCTGTCTTAAGCCAAGGTGTGTACTTTGTCTGAGAGAGATGGAAGCTTGTACACCATCAGCACACACTCCTAGAGGTAATCAGTGTTACTGTAAAAAAAAAAGTAGCCAGTCAATTAGCTCTCCCAGGCCTCCTCTTACAAAATCTCCCATGCTTTCAGGATTTGCCAAAAGGCAAAGAAGGCATTAATTTCTGTCTTTCTGGACTCAAAAGCAAAATGCAGCGGAAGAAGAAGAAAAATGAAGTGAAGGAAGCAAGGGGTGCAGCTGGACTGATGCATGTGAGTCTTTTGTGTTTTCAGAGTAGCATTTGGCTTTCCATGAGCGGAGGGGGGTGTCTTTTTCATTAGGATGACATGACCAGGGCAGATCTGTCTTCCCCTCCAACTTATGTCTTTCTCTTCTTTCTCCCTGCCCTGCCATAAAAGAAGGGTAAGCACAATGACCAGTGGGCTTTTGCAACGTGGTATTCCCTAACATATTTACAAAACACTTCGATTTTGCAATGCAGACAGGAGCAGATGGCTTTAATCATGGAAGAAAAATGCTTTCTCAGGCAAATGTATTCCAAGTTTACTGTACTGCTCAGCTGTGTTTTATCTGTGCTGAAAGGTCACCTGGAGGTATTTTTAACAATATGCAAAGGTGGTTCCTGAAAGGCAGTGAAGATAAAACGAGACCATTGTTATACTAGTGAAAAGCTTATTGAGAGAAAAAAGTCTCAGAGTGCAACAGAGGAAGGCTGTGGAAAATGTCAGCTCATTTGGGATGGGAAGTACAAAAGAACAGAATGTTAAGTGGATTTTGGACCCGTCTATTTGGCTGTGATGTCCTCACTGCTCAGTGAAATGAGACATAGAGGGGACCCCCCAAAGTGTCCTAATTGTTTTTCATTCATTTGTCACTGAATATGTTGCTCTGGACTCATGGTTATGTAGTATCATTTGTCTTCTCTCGCACCCACTGTGGTCTCTTCTGATCCTTGAGACAGTTTTGTTCCCTGAACTCCTGATGTCCCCGTTTTAAGGGGAAAATGTAGGTAACTCATGGCCCACAATCCTCCCAATGATCATTAGGACAGCCTGTGAGTCACCAGAGTGCTGCCAGGCCACTCCCTTTCTTGCACATCCAATTAGTTGCTCTAGCTTTGTACGTACCTTAATGAAGAATCTTAACAGTGCTGGTCAGGCTCTTCAGTACAGCATTGTTCCTACTGATGTGTTTAGATGAGCCAGGAGGAGCTTGTTTTGCATGCGAGCGCCAAATGCTGGTGTCTGCTGCCGTGCAAGCTCATCCTCTGGAGATGTACATAAAAGAATAAAAGAAATTATGAAGTCAGGTACAGAGATAAAGTTGTTCATCGCTCTCAGTGCTACACCTAGGATTTCTATAGATGGATCATTTCACAGTCACTAGGCACATCTCAGTCTTCAGTCTCACTACACAGTTACAGCACTTTCCCCTTACTGTTCTTCTGTTCACTAGAGAAAACGAGAAAAGATGGTAATGAAAGACAATTTCAGCACTTCAGTCCTAAAACAAATATACAGGAGGCAGGTAGATGACATGCCAGAATAGTCTAATCATTTGAAACCTAATTTGTCCTGCAGTTTCTTTAAATATACCAATTCCCTACAATAATTACATTTTCTGTCATATTTTGTGCTTGCATAAGCTTCATTTTACTGATATGCTTAGTGAAGCATATTGTTTCAATTAAACCCCAGCAAGGTTTGGAAACAAGAGAGGAAGAAGGCCCAAGGGACTTGATATCTACGAAACATGGCAGTGATGCAGTCTGTGCTTCCTCCAGAAAACCCTCAGACGTTCCCAATAATCCACACGCTAACAGTAAGTGATGGGCTTTGTACATCTCATGAATTTTGATTTCAGAATAATGCATAACCTGAAAACTGTTCAGAAATGCATTTTTAAGTGAATATGCAAAATGTTTCTCCTTTAGCTGTATGTCTTACTTCTTACAGAGGCTCTGTAATACTTCATTTCTGTGACAAATACCTTCCTGCTCCTAGTGGAGCTAATGAGCAGAACTATATTAAATTTAGTGGGAGTAATTTTTGCACAGCACTTGTAGAAGTGAAATGGAAGGAAATGCATGTGTCAGAGCCCACTAAAACATTCAGGGCTCTCCCAATGACTTTGTATTATCCTTGTAAGTAGGTGGCCATTGTGACACACATCTAGGAACCACAAAGCAGCCTGCTTCAGGTGGAAAGCAAACAGTTCCCAGGGCTGTGATTCTGCAGTGGATGTTTGTGCAATGTCCCCTGTTTGTATGGCAGATGTACCCGGAAAAAAGGAGAGGAGGAAGAGGAGGAAGATGAAAGAGACTTGAGGGAGCTGTGTAGCTGCCGGAGTGACAACCAAATGGGGGCAGGCATGCTGATGAGCTGCAATTCTCCTTTCTGTGATGCCGTGCTGAGCCCAAAGTAAAGAGAGGATCTAGAAGACTTCCCAGCAAGGGGAAGAGGAGAAGAGGAACAGTGAGCAACGGAGTGTGAGTGTGTGAGAGAAAGGAGAGAAGGAGCAGACTGCTCCAGAGGTGGTGTTGAAACAGAATGGGTGTTAATAACAAATTGCTGCCCTTGATTAAAAACTGTTGAATGGGTTTTGACCGGTGGCATGAAGACCTTTCAGTTTTTCACTGTCGCATTGTTTGTCAACTTGTAATGTTTTATGCCATTGTAGGACTGGCTGGGACACGGCCAACCATGATTGCAACTTGAGTTCCATGGAGGATCCACCAGCTAGTCTGGTCTCCCCTGGTGTTTTCACAGATGTGCTCATCACCAGGCTAGTAATGTACTGAAGAAAACATTGTTCAGAGACAAAAGGAGAGTAATACGGATCATTCTCAAACCTCCCAAATCTTTTAAGTCCTTGTTGGCTGCTACAGTCAGACTTTTATGCTTTTCACCCCACGTCAGGCTAGGTTGCTCCACAAGGGAAAATTTCTCAAGGAGGTTTTAAACTTACTTAGAAAGACATTATAAACCCTTTTGTCTTCCCAGGTTTTGTGGTGGGCTAAAGTGTAAAGCCTATATGTCCAAAGCATGTTGCATTTGTGCTTATAGTAGACTGAATTGACTTTTTGAAATATTTTTTTCTAATCTGATGTCTGGAAGTTTTTAGCATTTTGCTATTTGAATATTCTGATATAAACTGAATTTGTGAATGAAACTTTTAGAAATGTCATTTAGTATTTACCGAAGAACGTGCGCTTTTTATTTTGAGAGGGTTTATGGCATGGTGGAGGGAATGTGTTACAAGCAAGTTCTATGGTGTGTGAGTAGCGCCCAGGTGAGGCCAGTGAGAGCTGAAGCCCTTTATCTCTGCAGAGCTCTGGCAGGAGCTGTGGGGGTTCTTCAGGCTGTCCCAAGACCGTGCCTCACCCTGGGCCATCTTAGAAGTGCTACCTCAGAGGATGAGGTAATGATTGTCAAATCTCCACCTGCACTGGACTTTGTGCCTTTGGAGGTTGTGTGAGAAGGCAACAATTACTATTGCATGTTAAACTGCTTCGTCATAGGCATCGGGCTGATGACACATATTTCACATAGGACACTGAGTAACCGTGGATGTTATTGGTTTTAAACTGCTACAGCAGCACTCCTGTTTGCATTACCCAGCCAGAGGAGAGCTCTGTGCTTCTGCCATCCCAGCCATCCAGCCCCTGCTGCCAGCTTGTCTGAGCTTTACCCACAGCTCAGACTTTTTACCCCATAGTCTTCATCCTTTGAGCAAATATCAGAGCAGCCGTTTCCTTCAGAAAAGCAATTTATCGCAGCAATGTGTTTGTGTTTGGAATTGGACAGTTCTTTTCTGCTGTGATTTTTTTGGGGGGCTTCTAGCTGTACAGTGTGCCCTGAAGTTTAGCAAAAAAGGCTTGTTTCAGACAGGTGAGGGATAATCTTAACTGATGCCACACAGCAGTTCACTGTCTAAAATCTGCCCATCTTGATATTTGTATACCAGTGTAGGAGAAATATAGGCAATTTATGAATGTGTGAATGGACCAAATAGCTTTTACGTGGAAAGTAACTGTTCTGGAGCAGATGCATAAGAAGAAAAATGCACGGCCTCACCAGAGAAACGAGTATAGCAAGTTCAAGGATTTAGAAGATGTGTTAATGAGTATGTAGGTAATGAGTAAAGTTCTAACTCCAAGGCCAATGGAAAACATTCATTGACCTACTTGGAGCCAGGATGTTGCCCAAGGTCTTTGTTTAGCATTGAAGGTAACCTCTGCCATCAAAAAAATCAAAAGAAGCTTAATGAAGGAGATAAAGAGAAACTTAGAGTATTGGTAGACTCCCATTTCTTCTGCTTTTTTTTCTCTGTATCTGTTTGCAAGCTTTTTGATGCCAGTGTAATCATGTTTTATTTCAACATGTTATAGTATTTCAAGTGTTCATTGATTTTGTAATAAAGAATTCAAAACTTTTGCCCAAAGCACAGTACCCATGAGCAGTTTTATTTAATTACTTTGCATGTGCACAAGTAAGAGCAAGCGTTTTTCTCTAAAAATATTTTATTTCAAGCTTCTAAGGAGATACAGTAAATGGTTTTTAAGAGATTTCCTTCATCTCGATCCTGTTGGCGTTATGAAAACCTCTTAACTTTCTTCTGTTGTTGGAATAAAAGTACATTCAACTCCTGTAACACTGATGATCTGACTGTGATTCTGATGACAAGAAGCAGCAAATCATATTTCCCAGGTTTCCTGTCAAACTCATCAGTACCGCTCTTACTGACATCAGCAGCATTGGCAATGCTTATTGTACTTCTGGCTCCACTGTTTCACAGATGGGAAGACATCGCTGTCATATAGAAGGGCTCCGTAGTTTGCATCAGCACATTATTTAGTGCTATGTTCTAACACAGAAAACAGCTCAGCAAAGGAAAGACATCCCTACAACTAGATATTGTTGGTTGTAGGCTTTCCTAAATAATTGCAAAGCTGTACTGAGGATAGATCTGGTGGCAACGAACTGTTTGTGCGATTCATCTGCTGTACCAGTACCCTTCCTGCAAGGAATGGGAAGGGTGTTAGGTCTGGTTAATGTGTGTGGAGCCTTCCTCTGCTGCATCCCCCAGTGCTGCTGCTACACGGGCTCCCAAGGATGGCCTAGAGATCCGAGGAAAGTGTGCTGAGAGTGGTTCCTCAGTGAGAGGAGTTTAAAACAAAACAAAGCAAAAAACACAAAGCATTCAGCAGCTGCTAACTTCCATTCTTTCACTTCCTTGTCCTTGGGGGCTGCAGAACCATCCCTCAGTTTAACAAATGGCCTTTGCAGATGGCCAGTGCCTTTGAAAAGCAGACATTTGAATCCCTTATGAAATCCCCTTTCCTTTCATCACTGCGTGCTCAGGCTACTGCCTGGTTTCTGTGCTTCTGAGACATCTCTCGCCTTCTCTTCTGTGTACCCGTACTGCTCAGATCATCAGCCTGCTACACTGCTGCTGGCACTGGGAGTGTTAAATGAATGTGGTCGGTACTCCCATTTTTGTAGGCTCTGTCTGATCTTTACTAACAGGAGACTGGCGTAAGTCCTCAGACAGGAGATCCAACATCCCTCTAACAAGTTCCAGCATCGGTTGTGCTGTAGCTGGATGCTTTTATCCTCCAGATAACTTCTCTTAGAGGGGTGAATCTAAAGTATCTTCTTTGGTTGTTCATTAACCCAGTGTATTCCAATTGCCAGCTCTTGGGCCAGACCCAGCTGGCTCCCCTGCCTTCTCCCTGAGTGATTTTTCAGGTGCTCAAGTGGCACACGCTGCAGTAACAGCAGGAAATCCAGCCTCTGGGGCAGCCACAGCATGGGAAGCGGGGTGAAGTGTGGCTGGGAGAGTATCTGCGCTCTGGTTAGGAGCAATTAATTGTTACAGCAGCAGCTGCAAATGATGAAATACACTGCTTTAAGTTCCAGCTTTCTCTTAAACTCAGTCTGCTCTATTTTTGTAACGATGCTCTTTCTTGTGGGAAGCCTTTTGGAGATGGAGGGTTGGCTGTGTCCCTAATGATAGGGCCGTAGCGGTAAGTGCCAGGTCCATGAGACAGAATCTCAAGCATTAGGAGCTGGTTGATGCCGTAACCGATGAACTCCTGACCTACAAAGCTGTGTTTACTCACAGGCAGGCTGCAGATGCAGATCTGCAAAGCTTTGCTTCACACTCAAACCATAGTGTTACAAAGTCAGGGTTATGTAGAGCAACCACAGAGAGAAATTTGGCCTCCTGCTCCGTAATTATCTGTAATTGATAATTGCAGTTATCTGTAATTATCAAGGTTCCACCCAATCCGGACATCAGAGGCACAGCTGACACATCTGCACGAGCCGAGTATCAGGTAGACATGCTAATTGCCTGGCAGAAAATAATTTATTTGCTTTTTATAAGCTGTGCTTACAACAAAGGCCTGCTGTGTAATGCCGAAATAGCTGACTCCTGGTGAGGAGAGAAGGTTTTTTAAGTTACGGGCCACAAAGGTTAGATAAGGGAAATCTTGTCCTTCTGCGATAGAACTGACCCAGACCTGGGGGTCCTTCAAGGCAGATTGAACTTCCCAGCATGTGCCACCCCTGACATTGTGCTCCGCAGATGTTCTGATCTGCGAAGGAAGTGTCCTCCCTTACTGAAGGACACTGGTGCGTTGGGCACAGAAATAAATTCCCTGCGTCTTCCCAGGAAAACGTCACCATAACAGAACTGACCCCTCTACTGTCCCACTAGGAAACAATTAGAAATTTGGTAAACTTCATTTTATGTCAAACTTTGATTTCTGCATGCTTGCACTGTCTTCCTTTGGCAGTGGTTCTGAGCGCTCTAAGCTACAGAGACAAACGACAAAGGCCCTCATCAAGCACTTCTGAGTGCATCAGCTGTCTGCTGCTGTGCTCCTGGAACTCCTTTCCAATGTCCCAGACTGCAAAGTGATTCAAAAAGCCGATGTTTAAAGAAATAACAAATCACCGGAAGGTAACTCTTCCTTCTTCCCTGAGCAGGCAGCATTCGGATTCCCAGGCTCCTCTCTAAATCCTGCCAAAATTTGTGGAGAGGCACCTCTGGGCTTGGGGCTGGACAGGGGAGCAAGTAAAGGACGTTTCCTGTCTCCAGAGGAAGCCAGCACTCACTTTCAGACACGTGAAATTACTGAGATATCTGGACTTGCAAGTACCATTTTAGATTGAGGAAAATGCCATATGTTATTTTTAGACGTTTTTATTGCTCCTCAGCTGTACGATGGAAATGAACTATGGCTCTTCTAGCTTAGCAGACTTTGATTCTGTAAATGAATATGAGAACTTTTCTTCAGTGTTTGATACCGAGAAAACCTGAGAGTACAACAAGTAACCCAGTAACAGACTCTTGTGTTAATAAAAGTTTTACATCATGCTGTCATGTTTTAACTGCTTTTCTAACCCTGACTTTCTTATCCATCTGTTACAAGTTAAAAGTTTGGAACTGAGTTAAATTGACTCTTGCTGGTAAAACATAATTCATATTGTTAACAGCAATCAACCAGAACAAAACGTAGATGATTGGAACATTACATTAGGGATCCCAAAGTGATGCTGATTAATTCAATAAACAAAAGTAAAATCCAATAACCAAAAAACTTATTGTGATACGTTCTTATCTCTTTTACAATCAATCACTGAATCTTTGGATTAGCTTGTATTCTTCTTGCAGCATCCATCTTGGAGAAAAACAGTGGGAAAATTTGTTAATGCTGACTTCAGGATATCTAGGATTTCACTGTGTTCACCAACAGGAAAGCTTTCCTCCTGACTAATTTGTTTTGTTTTTATTATTATTTTTTTCCCATTGATATGTTAAGGGTCTGCTTTTACTCCCATACATTCTTATCCTTTTTAAAGAAGCAAAAAGCCAATCCATGCTCTCAGCCCAGGTATTTTCACATCTTCTCCACGAGTTCTATCGATTTTTCTAAATTCTGTTGAAGGGATCCATTGTTTTATACTGCAGCATCTATGTGAAGATGTTAGTTATGTTAGTTTCTCTACGATGTTTAAAAACTTGCTTTTTTTGTTTCAAAATTTAAAAATGTTTCTTCACTGCAGAAAATATCCAAGTCTGAGAAGCACCTTTCCTGTTTTTGTTTGTTTTTGGATAAGGTAGAGTAGCAGACACAGAGAGTCAAGAGATGAAAAAAAAAATAAAAATTAAAGTTAGGCTGTTCCTGCCCTTGTAATGAAGCGCCTTCCTTTGGGGAACGAAGACTTAAAACATGTCCTTCACTGCAACGTTTTTCCTTAGTAAAGAAGCCACTGGGCAAGAGATTTGCTTGATGTTCCTATCACTTTCAGCAGACATTGTTATTGGCGACATCACCTCATCTCACTGTTCCTCAGTTTCCCCAATCCCAAGCAGCACAATATGTTAATTATAAAGAGATAGAAACAGTGTCCATGGAGGCTACATAATTATCAGATCATGGTCTGCAGGTTTTCCCTCACACAAGCAGTAACAGACACTTGAAGCAGAATAGCACATCATCTTTCATATGCAACCTGACAATAATCCAGTAATTCAGTGCATGCAGATGTTAAATAATGATTACAACATCACTCTAAACTAACATCTTTTAGCCAGGGATAGACTGAAGAATGGCACAAAAGGGAGAAACCTTGGATTAACAAAGATCTGCATAAAACAGTCTTAGTGATCTTTTGGCAGCTTACAGGTGTTGGATTTACTTTTTTTAAGAAGCTGAATCACAGAGAAGATTGAAGGAGAATGAAAGCTGGCATCTCATTTACATGATCCTAGCTATGCTGCTGTCTTGTTTTTATATTATTTTTAGTATGATTATATCCAAATATATATACCTATGAATATGATTATTCAAAAATAATACTTTACATTTAGTTAAACATCGCCATGCACTCTCAAGATGGAAGTTAAAATCTCCTGTCTAGACACAGATTTTGAAACACCTTACTAGTCTGGCTAACGAGCCATGCTGTGATCTCAAAACTCCTTCCCTCCGTACCTGCTGAGAGAGAAGGAGTGTCACGCTGGTAAAGGAATCAGAACCCTTTTGCAGCGGCTTCTGACTAGCTAGCACATGTAATGCTTTTTGCTCTTACCATTGTGGAAGTGGGTAATTTGCTCCCACAATGTCAAGGTCTTTTTGCTAATTAGGAAGAAAAATTTATCACCGATTCCTTCTGTCTCTCTGAGTTTTTGCTCTGGCTGCCATGGCTATAAGCTGAGCCTTCAGAATTATTAATACATTTAGCTTCACAAATCCTTTCTGAACTAGCAAAAGAAGAGAATTAAGGCTCAAAGAGAAGGAAGCGTCTTGCCTGAGGTCATCTGGGCTGCCTGTGGCATGGAAGAACCGGTATCTTTCACAGAGAGTAGGACTAAAGTCATTAACCTATCCTCTCTTCCTCCATTTACAGAAAATAATGCAATCATTATCATTCTCAAAATAGTCTTTTAATCTTTTTTTTTTTTTTGAGGGGAAGAGATATTAGAGAGATATTTTTTGCTCACTCAATAGTTCCACATCAGTCTATCCAGCTGTGGAAAGCTGCTTTGTGATGTTAAATGACATTCACATTATTCTTTTCAGTATCTCTGTTGTCTGCAGGGTATAACAAGCAGTGAAGCTCATGGGAATAGCATCGGTTTTTATTCCAAGCCTGGCAGACAAAGATATGAACACTTAATTAGGATTTCTTTCATCTCACGAAAATAGCCCTGAAGATCTGAGCCTGACATGAGAGCTGCCAGTGATACTGATGAAGGCAAAGTGTCCATCTGGAGGATCCTCATTCAAGAACTTGCCCTCACATACTGTAACACCTCTTTAAACTGAGAATGGGATCTTGGTGCTTCCAAGCGAACGTCCTAACCCAAGCAAGAAACTCCTGATTTCTCTTGGGACTCGCTCTAGCCCTTGAATTCATCTTTCACGCAGGGAAAGACCAACGGGAAGCGAAGTCTCTCTCAGCTCTGCAGCAATGATGCGATCAGCTCAGACGTGAGTGCTGCAGAAATAGTCGGCTTAGGCTTCCCAACATGCCATCTGTGAGGAAAATTATTTTTAAAATGACTGATTGCAACAAAATGCACATTCTTTTTGTATTTATTTACATATGTACATGTTTATTGATTAAAATTAGTCCGGTTTTGTTACATTAAATCAGTCTGTTGATTACTAAGCATCTGTGCACAGGGAACATTAGGAACACTAAGGAAACAAACAATAGCTTGTAATAGGACCATTAGAGCAGTCTTAGCAGCACTTACAATATGTTTATTCAAAAATGAAATATGCCCTCAGGAAGAAAAACACCAATTATGGAACACAGGGGATTTAAAATAAAAAGGTCAGTTTTAAAGCCTTTAACTAAATCATTTCAAACGACTCAGCAACAGTTCATGTTTAAAAATAGACTAAGTAGCTAAAACAATAACATGCGTTAATTGTAGGATCTGGAATGTATCAATAGGACAAGCACAGTCACCCTCGTTACCTTCTCATTGTTCAGAGTGAAAAAACAGTATTAATACTGGCAGATAACATACATCTTGGTATATACACACACAGCAAATATTTATGTTCTATGAGTGTCTCAAATCAGTTGTGTGCAGCCAAGAAGGAAATACTCGCAGCTGCACCAGGGTTAAAATAAACTGTGTGCGTATCTGTATCAACAGTGCGAGGCTCCAAAACCCGCTGATGTCACTGGGTCAGGGGAAGTTTATGGGTCCCCCTCTGCATGTGAACAGGAGCTTTTGCTGCTAAATGCTGGAGCAGTCTCTTATCACGCGTACGGAGGCAGCACTCAGATTTACACACATTATTTCTCATTAACACGTGTGTCTGGTAGCACCTGCGACTTTCAGTGAGACTAAATGTTGGAATATTACTGGAATGGGCTGCCCAGGGAGGTGGTGGAGTCGCCGCCCCTGGGGGTGTTCAAGGGAGGGTTGGATGTGGTGCTTGGGGACGTGGTTTAGTGGGTGACAGTGGTGGTAGGGGATGGTTGGACTAGGTGGTCTTGGAGGTCTTTTCCAACCTTTATGATTCTGTGATTAATATTATACGCTCTGAAACAGGGACTTTGACTCACAAAAAAAAAAAAAAAGTCTCTGCGAACTAACATGTTCCTCTTCTGTTTGCGCCCTGATCCCATAGCCTCTCAGCACGTAACGCACAACACCAGTAATTTAATCCGAGGATTTCGTGCAGAAAAAAAAAAAAAAAAAAAAAAAAAAAAAGGAAAAAAAGGTTTAAGCGAATTAAACTCGCTAGAATTTAGCTGAATTTCAGTGAAGCCGCGGAACCCGCCCGGTGCGCGGGCAGCCTGGGCGCTGAGGTGCGCGCAGGGGGCGGGGGTTCCCGCCCCAAAATGGCGGTCGGGGGGCTCCCGGCCCGCCCCAAAATGGCGGACGAGGGGTGTGGGGGGGCGGGGGTGGCGCTCACCGTGCCTCAGGTAAGCCCCGCCCCGCCCCTTCGCAGGTGAACGCCAGGGCGTCGCACCCGGTGCGCGCCGATTGGCCCAGCGCGCCGTCAATCTCCCGTCGCCGAGGCAACGCGTGGGCCCTCCCGCAGGCCCCGCCCCCCGCGCCCCCTCTGCCGACTCCTGATTGGCCGGAGCGGCGGTGACGCGCGAGCGGGGGTTCTCCAGCCCCCAGCTGAGGGAGAGGAGCCCGGCCAGAGCGAGCGGCGGCGGCGGCGGGCCCGGTAGGCGGGAGGGAGCCCGGCGGTGTCGCTGCCACCATGACGTTCAAGCGGAGCCGGGACCGCTTCTACAGCACCCGCTGCTGCGGCTGCTGCCACGTGCGGACCGGCACCATCATCCTGGGCACCTGGTACATGGTGAGAGCCTGCGCCCGGCGCGAGGGGCAACGGCGGGGCGAGCGCGCATGCGCGGCGCCTCGGGTCTGGGGTGGGAGGGGGGGGTGTGAGGAGGGGGCAGCGCGCATGCGCACTTGGGAGGGGTCCTGAGGGGAGGGGGACACTGAGAGGGGGGTTGGTCCCGTCAGGGCTTGGCCATGGGGAATGGGAAGGGAAGGAGAGCCCTGAGGCGTCGTGCTCGGGGTCTTGTTGCTGGTCCTGGCTCCTGTGCCCGTCCTGAGGCTGGAGGGGAGCCGCCTTGACGCGTTTCGGGCGGTGCTGAGGGTGCCCTTGGCAGGAGAGCTGATAAAGTGCTTGGGGAGGCTGGAATGTGGGGCATGTGGGGAGTGAGGCGATAAGAAACGGCCTCCCTGAGCGGCGTGTAACCCCCGAGGGGGAGGTGAGGGTCCCGAGCAAGCCGGTACCGAGGTCGTCCCGAGGAGCTCGGTGGGAAAGGGGAGCTCTCCGTCCTTCCACAGGGTTGTTGGGGAGCTATAGAAACAGGTCTGTTTTTTCCAAAACACTTCCTGTTTTCTGACTCTTTCTCTAAGAGAGAACTCGGCTATTAAAGATGGTTTTGAACTAGAGTGAAATAAAAACGCAAAAGCAGTAACATTGAGTTCAGACATGGGCCAAGCAAGTTCCCCTTTATTGAAGTCCTTTCCTCATCTTTCCTTCCTGTTACCCTAGTGGGCAGTAAAAATGTGAGGATGATTTAAACATGTTGCATCAGAGCTTTTCTATTCTCCAAAGCTGTAACCAAAGCCTGTATTTTCCTTTACCCTTCCCCAGATGGTAAAAATAGCAAATGTTGCATTCTTACGCTTTGGTGTGGAGGAGCCATGCACAGAAACTACTGTTACAGTAGGAGAAATAAGTGGGGATTTAACTTTCAGAGAGCCTATGGTCTCTCTTCAGCAAGTATTGAGAGATTATATTTTTAATTTTTACCCCTTTTGTTTTTTTTGCCCCTCTCAGTCCTTCCAGGGATAGAAGGTGGTTCTGGCAAGTGATAAAATGGCAGGAGAAAACTGTGAGAAAAGCCACAGCACGGTGTGAAAAGTATAACAAAACTCAAGGAAAGAGATATCTTAATATTTTTGAGTAAAAAATCAAGTTTGAAAAACTGGAAAGCTGACCTAGTGTTGATTAGTTTCTGTCTTACATGAACTAATATTAGAACTTAGTCCTTCGCTGTATTGAATATTGGACTTGTTTGGGAATCCTGTAAAACTTGGGGAATGCTGGTACGTCAAGGAACAGCAGAAATCCTTAACAGGCAGGAGGCAATCGTGCTTGTTATGAAACAAACGCACCTTGCTGCATTCCCCACTTTCGTTTCCTGTTAGCAGGAGTGTGTGGAAACCCAGGAACCTGGAAGGGGCATGGCTGTGCTTTCTGGCGCAGCGTACTTGGAGCTTTTGTCCTGGTCTGCTGGGAGAAGGTGACACAACACCTGTCTGCCACCTGCTAGCTGTCTGAGCTGAAAGAAGGCTCCAATTCTGAAGTGGTCTTGTCTTGCCTGTTGCTTTAAATCGAAACTTAGTTATAATTTATCCCTTTTGAAGGCTGAATACAATTCAGATGGTGAAAATAAAACTAATGTTTCTGCCGATAATTTTTTCCTCAATAAATTAAATGGGTTGTGGTGTATCAGTTTGTTCAGATGTGTTAATTAGCGAACCATGTATGCATAGCATTTATCACAAGCTAGCGTTTGAAACACTGAAATTAATGTTTCTATGTCAATTTAATGATCTAGACCTGTAAGTTAGGGTGGCAAGAGGCAATAACTTTTCTCGTTTCTGAGGGAGGCAGTTCTTTGTGGAGGAGAACACTTAGCTCTGCAATAGTTTTGTGTTAGTGAAGATCTTGGTCAGCCTTTTCAGTATTTACTGAATGCACTGATCTTGTGCTCTGCAGTCCTGAAGGAATTTGATACCAAGCATAAAATGGAGTCCCATAGCAATCTACTCCAGATGTTTCAGTAAGATAAGGGTTCTGGCATTATACGTCTGCGTTATTCTTATGTAACTGTTTCTTTAGGCGTTTTCCTGTTCTTTGCCTATGCGTATAGTTCTAAATCTTGCATCAAATGAACTTTGCTCCTCTTTAAAAGTTCTGTATCGCTGTCTTTTCTGTCTGCTTCTGTGAGTCTAGAGAGAACAACAGCCTTATCTTCTAAAATGTCTGTTGGTGCTCTGTGATTAAACTCCCTCTTTTAAGCATGCTTCAGTTCTCTTCTGCCACTGGTTCTGATAAATAGATAAACTTTGTGAAAAAATGAGTTCAGAGTGTTCTTAGAGGACTCATACTTGAGTTTCAGGGCTAGTATAGCTCGGTTTACCCTGTAACACTCGCTGCTGGCCTGTGTAGGAAGGGAAGGAAACCTCCTATTCCCAGCTTCGTAATTGCAAACATGTGGCTTTGAAGTTTTCTTCCTGTAAACTTTCTTATTAGGCACAGTGCTTTCCAGAAACCGGAAACGTGAACACATTGGCAAAATCAGATCAGAGCTCAATAAACAGTCTGAAAGTACGAGCATTGTTTTGGAGGGAGTGGCTGTTGCGTTCTGGCAGCAAACCTCAGGGATGGAATCAAAGTGATGCAATTGCTACTGCTTACGGGGAGGGTCAGGATGATCTCTGGAGACGTTTGTTCACCGAACAAAACTTCCAAAAGAGACGAAATAGAACTGGTTTCTATCAGATCCTGGCAGTGCTAGGAGCTCTGGAATACCCTGTTTTTGGTATACCAGCAAGAAAAACAAAACAAAGCCACTTTGGTTTGTTTCTTCAAGACTATGTTTAAAGAAAAATAATGGAAAAGTGAGAGGTGGGAAAGTGTAGTTGTTGCAAGGCTCAACTACACTTTCTTTCAACCTTTCTTGCTCATAGAAACAGGAATGTCAGTAGGAATTCTTGTTTCCATCCAAGACTTTTAGGCACTTGGACTTTAGGGTGCTTGGGGAAACTCAGGTTTCATGTTCAGGTCTCCAGAGATAGGAAGCACTTGCATGATTAGCAGGTATACGTGATTATTGGTATACATACCACGGAGATAAGAGCTTGCTAATTAAAAAGCTAATTGCTCTTTATAGTTCCATAGTGTTCTGAGTTCTGATTGTATGGAGAGCTAGTATTTCTGTATTTGTTTGTAATAAGTGTTGGCTTTTTACTTCAATACCAGCTATTTTTTTTTTTTAATATATAAGCTACACTGAACTTCTCTTGAGCTCAGTTATTCTGGTTTTAAAAGCAAAATATGCTTCTCCAACTGTTCAGTGTAGCGCTTTCTACAAAACTAATTGTTGTCCTCTTCATAGAACCATCTTTTGATTAAGAATTTAAACTGTATTTTTTTTGACTTTCTAACTAACAAGCCTAGCAAGGGGGCTGCTGGGATTTCTGAGGTGTCAACTCCTCAAGTCCCTATTGAGGGCTGGTTTGTCGGGACTGGTGGCTTTATTTTTTGTTTTTATTATTTATTAATATTTAGATTGCTCTCAGGTTTCTCTGTGTTACGTGTGTTTTCAGACCACGTTTTCTATTCTGTGCAGACTGCTCGTGAATGCATATTTTATTCACAGTGAGTAAATTCAGTTAAAAACTGAAGATGCCTTGCAATCCAAACCATACTCTTGCAGTTGTTTGTGCTGACTGGGGAGTTGAAACGAGCCTTGTGGTCTTGCTGTTATCAGGCTTTTGTGAGAGAGGAATGGCTGCAGTTAGATACAAGCTCTGGCTTCTTGCTTGAAAGCACTGCTAATTTGGAGTTGTGGTACCTCCTAATTGCCATCCATATGTTGTACATGAGGAATTGCTCAGCGCTGTGATATGATTCACAAAGAGCAGCGATGGCATCCTGGCAGCCCCAGGGCATTCATCGGCAGAGGTGTTTGTTTGTTTCAAGTTAGGATCAATGAGACAGTAAAAATACTGTTCGCATAGGCTGGATTTCAAATGACTCTAATTTTGTATTTTTCCTTGCACACCATTTCCGGATGAGAAAACAAAGCTTTGATGCTCTGAACTGTGCTCATTAACTAGTGAAATTACTAAGAATTATGTATGCTAAATTGGGACCGTGGGTAGGATGAAAATAAAAACCAGTGACAGTCGTAGGATGACAGAGACACGATTCTAAGGCATGAAAGCTTACAATTTCTAAAGATGAAGCTAGCAGCTAAAGTTTCTCAACTGTTTCACTATTTAAGTTAAAAGGGTGACTGTATATAATAAGTGAACTGGCAATAACTGACCAAGTCTGTTTGTGTTTTACAAAGTAGAAATTCGTGTTTCAACAGCCAGATACCTGGACCTCGACATAAGCTGCTTAAAATAAGTAGAGACAAAAGTCATTTTCCAAAGTATAGGTTGATACTTCTGATTCATTCGCAGAGAGGAGGAAATAAAAAAGCTTGAGAAGGCATTAAAAGCCAGAGTGGAGAAGCAGGAAATGAGTGGTGAGAGATCATATTCTATACCTTTGAACAATGGTGAAACAAAATAAGATTTAAGCAAAGTGCAGGTGAGCAGCTTTACAGTTTGCCATGTGGGAAGCCTCTTGTGAGGGGAAAAATAAGCGTATTTCAAGACCGAAGATACTGGTAGCTAAATGTGATTATTTACTGCCAGCTGTACTGTTTTTGTGCTATATTTGGCCTTCCACAGCATAAAATTGAGGATCCAAGTAGCTGGAGCTTCTAATAAGTTTGTCTAAAGCTGATGACATGGTGCTATTCCTACAAAGTTGTCAGCTTTCAATGAAGGGTTCTTTTTGGAGAAAGTGTAAGTAAACTTATCTCTAGGATATCTCAGAAACTTAAAAAAAGGGCAGGGGGAACAATAACGAAACTAGTATGAACCGTGAGTCTTAAAAGCTAATACTCCTTTAAAACATTCAAAAACGATTTTACTTAAAACTTTAGTAGCTGTGCACAGAGTTGCTGCTTTTGGTGGTGTAGACCCCTGGAACCATGGCAGTAGAAGAAATGTTTGGCAAATATTCTTACGTCATGAGAAGCTGTGAACCAATTTGTGGTGGTTTGGTGTTTTTGTTGTTTTTTCCCCCTCGGAGGCTAATTGTAAAAGATCCTGCTGGTGGTAGTGACTGTGCTGAATACTGATTGGAGAAATGGCTGTGGCTTGAAAATGCTATTGTGAAGGTTTTTTTATTATGAAACCTTTTTCTTTGGCCTGTCTCTCCAGATACTAGTAACAGAAACTATGCCCCTGTAAGTCCTGAATAGGCTCTAAATGCTGCGAAGGCAGTTTTCCAGAGGTTTCAGCAGCTTTTGACTCTTTGAGCTCTTACTGTTACTGAAAGCATTTCTGGTATGTACCAAAATGGAGAAACAGAAATAGTCTTCAACAGCAGGGTAAGGAAAGGAACTGGTGTGCGTACAGCCACTGCTGGATGCTTATGGATTTTGGAGTTCAGTCTTAGTGTGAAATTTCTTTAATTTCACCTGTGTTTGGTTAGGCAGTCTGAAGAGGTTTTTAATAGATGATCTAGGTAGGGGAGAGCCAGTTCTACACTGCTTCTATTAAATCTAACATGGGGGAGAAACAGGAAGCAAGCTACGGCTGAGGATTTGAGCTGTAACCTAACTTTTCTCTCATGGTTGGTATTTACTGTGTTGTGTTTGCACATCTCCTTGCACTGCTTGCCCCAAAGAGTAGGGTGCAGTGACTTAGTTGTGCATTAAATCAACTCAGTCCTTGGGGGTTGTTGGAGGAAGCAGAAACTCTGTAAATGTGCCTTGTTCACCATTGTACCTTTTCCTTCCTGCTTCTTTTTCTGTTCCCAGTTTACCAGTCCACATGGCTGTATATTGATCATGCAGTATCAGCTCAGGGCACTTGAATCCCTACAAACCCTATCTGTCCTCTTCATTTGCAGCATTTCTTAATTATGATTCATTGAAACTAGCATCCGTGTAGTGCATTTTTTTTGGTAGGGTTTTAACTGAATCAGCTTGAAACTTCATCTTAAATGGTTCTGTTGTCTGCTTCTTCTCTCTCCCCTCCCCCCCCCCCAGCCAAAGAGCTTATTTCTAACTGAACTGAAATATTAATAATGTCCTTAAAATGACCGTAGCTGTAGCAGTGTGAAGAACTTCCAGGTAACTCTGATCTTTCTCAGGTGGTGAATTTGCTGATGGGCATCTTGCTGACTGTGGAAGTGACTCATCCAAACATAGTGCCAACTGTTGACATCCAGTATGAAGTCATCGGGAACTACTATGCTTCCGAGAGGATGGCTGGTAGGTGCACGGCTCGTTTGTCCCACAAAAAAACAAACCATGCAGTATCATAGCGTGTGTGCCTTACTGTAGTGTGTAATACATGCATGCAGCTTTTAAATACAGTTTTCTTGCTTTCTGAATGTCTTTCCAATTATTAATGAGTTTTACTATGAATATAAAAGAAACTTCAATGCAATATTATTTTTACCTCATATCATTAAGCATCTTAAATGATAAGATTGCTAAAAAAAAAAATCTTGGCTTTCATCAACACTCATGTTAGTACATGTGGAACATCAACAATTCGCATTATCTACAAACATTTACTATTCTTGCTGGGTCAATAAAACCAAAAATAGAGCTTATTCTTCAGAAGTGTCTAGGTTTTATAAGTGGTTGTCACAGATCTAAGGAAAGAGCTTTACAGCTGTTGAGTGCAAGCCTGCTAAGAAAAAAGCTTGCCATCTTTCTGAGTGGAAAAATTAGAATGCCAAGTACTTGAAGAGAGCATTATGAGCAAAATTAAAATTACTTCCTGGTGTATTGTTACAGATGAAGTGTATGATGTCTACAAGTGTAGCTGGTGTCAAACCCTTGTCTTTAATGACCAGGGTTTCTAAGTGTAGTATATGATGTATAATCTTGTGTACTTACCTCTTTTTAATGTGGTTTTTACTTGTTTTTAAGTGTGTAGTCGTACGATGAGTGGTACTTCTAATATGTCTAGTCTCCTCCTGTTAAATTATACCAAAATTTAGCAAGGGTTGGAGTGAAGACGAATAGTACAGCACAGGTCTGGATTTTGAGAGTTCCAATTTACGATCTTTGTTCCTCGTTCATGATCTGACGTGAGGAACTGTCACTTCTGTAATTTTGGCTTGTGTTCATTAGTAATGAAATGAAGTGGGGACAAGGATCAAATGCTTCATAAAGCTAACGTACTAAATAAAGTTACAAGAGATAATTGTAAAAATGGTGTGTGTTTTGTAGTGAATGTTGGTATGTGTAGAAGCCGATGCTTCTGAAGGTGTTTTCACTACTTTTTAGTGTAAAATGGCTGTTGCCTGTTTCTTGGCATAGACTTCTGTTCCCTGTGTTCTGGTATGGACTGAAAGTTTTTGTGTCTATGAAAGGACTTCATCCATACTCACAATGAAAATTGTGCTGTGTGGGTTTTCTTCTGAGAATCTGTCACTACTGCTATGACACTTGTTGGTTATTCACGAGTACTTCAGGATCTCTGATCAAGGCAATGCATCTCAGACACATGAGGGCCTCCTTGATGCCATCTGTGTGTAGACCGTGTAATGAATTAGGTATGCAAATGTTTCTGTAGTGTAATTTTCAGATCAGTTGCAGATCAGCTCTTTCAAGCATGTGAACCACAAGAGTTTGGCTTCAGCTTCATTTTAAAAAAAATGAGCTTACAGCATCTATAGACTCACAAGCTGCTTTTTTTTTTTTTCTGTTTAAAAATGTAAAGTGTGCCTGCTGTAGGAGAGTTAGTGTAATCTAACTTGTGGAAAGCAGCTGTGCTTCTGTCATCAGTGACCCTGATGCTTGAGGGGAATCTTTATCATTCAGTTTTCATGAGTGTCCTGGATTCTGCTACCACTTGGCTTCTGTTCAGCTGCTTTTTCTTGTAAATAGTAGGATACCTTCCACACAGTCATTTCCTATTTTCCTTGCTGGTACTTAAGCAGCAGTGCCGTTTCCCCTGCCAATGACCAAATTATATAATCAAACCGTTTTCAAGTAGAAAGGTTGATAGTGTGCTGACTTCACTTAAAACTCTTTCCAATTGTAAAATTAATCACCCACATACTTTCAACACTGACATAATGCAAATAAGAGTCATTATGTTGCATTGCAGTCGAACTTTGTCAGGCTTCTAACTGATGTGTCTGAGCCTTATTCAGGCTTTCGATTAAGACAGATTTTTTTTCTGAATGCCTGCAGGTTTTCTTGAACCAGCTCTTTTTCCTTCAGTAGAAGACTGAGTTACTCAAACCCTCAACTTCCATTTTGCACAGAGGAAACAGCTGAGTGAGAATAGATCATAATAATAGATAAAACTTGTGTGCTTGTCAGGTGCAGTGTGGTAGCTTTAGGAAATGACTGATACTTATCTTGGTGTCTTTTTTAATGCAGAAAATGCCTGCGTTCTGTTTGCCATCTCCCTCCTCATGTTCACAATCAGTGCAATGATGGTGTATGGTGCAATTGCTGTAAGTATACCTATAGTCTACGTTTTTTAACTTGCTACTTCATTTTTTTAACAAAATACTTCATAAGCAGCTTTTTTTTTTTTTTTTTTAGCATCGTGTAGGCTGGCTGATCCCGTTCTTCTGTTACCAGCTCTTTGACTTTGTGCTCAGTTGTCTGGTTGCAATCAGTTCTCTCACCTACTTGCCCAGAATCAAGGATTACCTGGATCAGTTGGTAAGTACTTGTTCAGCTTGTGCTACCACTTAGGTTTCAAATTAACCTTTGGTTTGGTAAGTGCTATAAGAGCTATACTCATCCTCCTGTCCCTAAAAGAGGAGCTGGGACTGCAGCAGCCATAGACAATACTTGCTGGGGTGGTTGTGAGAACGAGAGCTTATCAGAGGTGGAAGGACTGAAGGTGGTGGTGTTCTCTTAATGGAAAGCTAGGGAGAGGAGAGAATTAGTTGTGAAAGGAAATGTTGGTTTAATCTGCCTGTAGTTAGTTTACACGTGGCGCAAGTGTGATGTGATGTATGGTCTGCAACATGATGGGGTGGAATTGGGGGTTCCTTTTTACATCCTCTGTGGCTCTTGTTTTGCAGCAAGGGCTTCTGATGAGACCGCAATGGAGTGGTCATTAATGCTGCCTATTTTTGTTTTCTTAACTGTTAGGAGACTCAGTAGATAGAATAGATATAGAATAGATAGGATAGAATAGTTGGCATGGATCACAACCAGCAGTTGGCATGGATCACAAACTCTTTTCTGGCTGGTGTTTAGATCTGTGCAAGTAGATGCTGAAAAATTCTGCTGAAAACAAAAAATGGCTTGATGCTGGGGAGAGGCTTTGTTACTGTGGTCAGGGAATAAGAAGAGTCTGAAATTTGCAGAAGCTTTTTGTTGTGTTTTGGCCCCTTGTGAAGTTCAGGGGCAAATCTTGTGCTTTCTAGTTTGCATGTGTACATGTAACTGGTTGGACTGGTGAGAAGTAGAGTTGTCAGGCGGGGAGGGCAAATGTTCTGCAGCTGTTAAAAAGGGAATTTCATGGCTGTTTGTATTAGCATGAGATTGAGGAAATGACTTGTAGTATAGAAGTTACAAGGCTTCCTTACAGGTAGCCCCTTTCTGTAGTCATCTCTTTTTGCAGGACAGAGGCAGGATAAGTAGTGTGTTTTGTGGGAGGATTAAGAAGGAGCTACAGAAAACCCGAACTTTTCATTGTTTCTGAAAGAGTTGTTTACACAAGACCTCAATTCACTTGGTGTTGAAGTTTGGGTGTCTCTCATATTTGTCGATGTATGATGCTCACACTCATATTCTCCCTTTTTTCTCCCCCCACCCTATTTGTTTCAACTAGCCGGATTTCCCTTACAAAGATGACCTTCTTTCGCTGGATTCCAGCTGTCTCTTGTTTATTGTTCTGGTATTCTTTGCTTTATTTATCATTCTAAAGGTAAGTTACAATTTAACTGTGTCTGTTTCATGAGTTGCTACATTAAGATGCTATTGGTATATGTGAATGTATTGAATTAAGAACTTCTTTGAGCAGAATTGCTAGGATATTCAATTACCAGTTTGATTAAAATTATATTGTTTCTTCAACTAGTTTGTACGTTGTGTGCAGCACAGCATGTTTGTGCAGCTCTACTTTTTCTGAATAGAGAGTAGAAATATGCAAAGACTTCAAATACCACCTTTTTGCATGTGTGGAGTTACTTTAATATTTATAAATAAGCTTGTAGTGAAACAGAGCAGAGTTATTGCATACAAGGTTTCTAAACTAAACTTAAACTTTAAAAATCCCTTAAACCAGTACACATCCTTTAGGAAGGAGATGATGGAAGGAGGAAATAGTAATTAATTCAGAGCTGCACTATCCTTCTAGAGAAGGGTGATATTACCAGTTAATACTTTTTTGAATATCTAAATAGAAATTAATTTGCATTACAAAAAATGATATGCAGGCAAAACATGTAAGTTAAACAAATGAGTTTGTTATACGCATCGGCCATGACAATATTCTTTTATTGCATTTACATTAAACTTAAAGAAAAAAAAGTAATGGAAAAGAATGTTTTCTCGTTTTCTCCAAGAGGAGTGTCTGATAGGAGGAAGGAAGTGAAAGCCTAACATAGTAGATCATATTTTTATATTGATTGGGACCTTAATTTGGTACCTTGTATATTAACTAGGTACTAATTTGCCAGTGAAAACTACACTGAGCAATACTGTACAGATTAATAGCAATAAAAGTAATCATGCTCTGACTGTTAGATGGTATATCTTCGAACAGCAGCTAACATTAACCTAAAGCATGGGCTGTTCTCCTCTGCTCTCCTCTCTTGGCACCTCAGGCTGTGTGTTCTCTCCTTTGCCCATGCGTTGGACAAATAACAATGCTAATTTAGGGATGAGCGGGATTGTGCCATTGGCCTGTCCTCCTGCAAGCAAGTTTGGACTGAGATCCGCAGAAACATAAGCCAATTAGGGATTAATTTGCCTAGCTCTACTGAGGCACACAGATTAATTGGATGGATCTCTGAATTCTTGTGCTGAAATGTGTGGGGTTCATCCTCTCTGAGTCACTGTGACAGCAAGACTGAACAGCAACAATATACATGTGTGACTAAATCTGTTAATAAGCAACCATCCCTCGGATAGATATTGACTTAGTTGATTTATGCTTCTTTTTTTGTCATCGAAATGTAATCCGGCATCTAACTTCTGAATCGGCTAATGCATATGAAGTTTTTAAGAAGATAAATCTCTTTTCTTTCAGGCGTATCTAATCAACTGTGTATGGAACTGTTATAAATACATCAGCAACAGAAATTTGCCAGAGATAGCTGTGTACCCTGCATTTGAAGCTCCTCCACAGGTAAAAACCTTTTCTAGGTTGAAGGAACCAGAAGTGTTTAATTTTGAAGTAGAAAAATGCAGTATGCATGCGTGTTTACACATCTGGTCCAGTTCTGTAAACTAAGACTGGGAAGATTAACAGTAGCTGCTTTAACTTCTTTAAAATAGATTGTTTGAGTTACCTTATAACTCATAAAATATGAGTTTTTTATAGAGAAGAGACTTAGAGTGTTTTGTAACGGAGGGAAGCTTTCTGATTGCATGCATCAAAACCTGCATTTCTGTCTTGCAAAACCAAGAGACAGAGGGGTAGAGTTAATGACGTCAGGTTAGGTTCAGTGAAGCACTAAACTGTGTGCCTTTCACTTCCTCAATAGCTTACTAGAGGAATCAGTAAGTTCTTAAAAATATTTCCCTGCAACAGGGAGTTAAACTGCTGATGTGGTATGCATGTTTTTATTATGCTTTTTTCTTCAACCTTCGCCATTAATCTCCTCAAAATGTCTTCTCTCCAGTATGTTCTGCCAACCTACGAAATGGCAGTGAAGATGCCTGAGAAGGAACCTCCACCTCCCTACATACCTGCCTGAAGCAACTTCTATGTTAATTAACATCTGTACCAGCTTCTTGGGGGTTTTGTCTTTTAATCTTGCAAAACTGCTTAAGTACTAGAAATATTCAGGGCTTTAGGAGCAAACTGTTCTGTTTAAAATGTTTGATATAAACTTACTAAGTAAAACATCTGGGAGTGATTTTGTTTGCTTTAATTTTTGTTCTCCTTAATGCTCTTAAACATTTTATTGCCTGAGGGCTTTATACTGCAAGAACTTATTCATGTGACTAACTTGTGGCTTTTAATATCAACTGAGCCAATATATGATTAAAGTTAGCTACAAATATAAGTGTTTGCAGGATCGTGCCCTTAATTTATATTAATTTTTTTGTAAAGTAGTTCATAAAGACAATCTGATTGTGCAGCAGAATGACAGTTTGCCTTTATACAGTTTTTGGAGGGGGAGGGGTTTGAATGTGGTATATACGTGAATTTTTTTACTTTGCACTTTTCTCATATGTTATCTTACCTTCCTGTGTTGTTTTTTGTTTATCCCACGTCCTGAAACATAGTATTTTCAGGAAGAAGCGAGGTTGGCACAGGAGTTGTATTACAATGTGCTGTGAGTGCAAGAAAAATAAATAGAAATGTAGATGATGGTTGCATGCTTCTAATCTTATATGTATTTTCTTCTTTGTGATAAATGATACTTAAATAAATCTTTTACGAAATGTTTACCAGTAGCCTTGACTGGCGTGCCTTTTTTCCTTTTTTTTTTAAAAAAAAATTATTTTAAGTGCTTCAGTGTACTGCAGCTAATCCCATATACAGCTTAGCGAACCCTGATTTCCTACAGCGTGGTTTGGTGGTTGATCTGTGTTCTCCAGTAGAAGCAAATCCTCCTTTGGGTGGAGAGCATGGATTCCCTTTAGTGTGTAAGCTTGTTTTGCAGCTTTTGTTGCAGTTTAAGTACTGTCTTCTGATTGCTACTCACATAAGCTTGGAAGAGGGAATTGTGAGGTGTCCAGCCCTCTGGGCAAATTTGATGTCTGATAAGCTCAGATGGTAAGAGCAGAACAGACACAAGTAGGACTAAAAAGTATTTCCACTGGAGAATGTCCAAAGTTGCTGGACGTAAGCCATAGCTTCAGTAGTGTTCTTTAAAAAAAAATAATCTTTCTATACTTCCTTCTTTGTGGTTACAGATAAAAGCTATTTTAATGATCTGCTAATATAGCTGAAGAGAAACCGGCTTCCTACTACGGCAGATGAAAGGGATATGTGATTAAACCAGGGGAAAGGATTAACACTACTGGAGCATGCAGGCTGTTGATTATTCTAGTCGCCTGGAGTACGTACCTCCTCCTTGTCCTTTTGAAGTTTAAAAATGCCTTTGGTCATTACCAAATATCAGCCATAGGTTCCTTAGTTTTCTTGTTACCAAGCTGCCATCTGTGAGAGCACCTTACACTGTGTCAGTACGTGAACGTCCTGTGCTGCTGTCCTGCACCCTGCGTTTCCAGTTACCCTGTGCACACAGGTGTATGCACACAGAACTGCACCCAATTTCTGCGTTCTTGTGGGTCTGGGGAATCTTTAGGTGCTTGCAGACCGCTAGAATGCAGTCAGTTTTAGTTTCTGCAGGGAAACTGAAAGGATCTGTGATTTTAGGTTGGAAGAGATCTTCTAAATCATCAAGCCCAACTGTCAACCTCATCTACCGAGTCCCACCACTAAACCATTTCCCTTGGGGCTTTGTCCACATGCCTTATATAACTCCAGAGATGGAGGCTCCAACGCTTCCTTGGGCAGCCTGTTCCCGTGTGTGACCGCTCTCTCTGAGAAGAAATTCATCCTAATAACTAATCTAAGCCTCCCCTGGTACAATTTGAGACTGTGTCCTATTACTTGTCACCTGAGAAAAGAGACAGACACCTTCCTCCTTCCTTGCTCCTATCTCCTTTCCCATAGTTAGGAATACATGAAACCAAACTGGTATAAGAATCACACAGCTGAATCTTTTATGTATTACACAGGCTCCCAGTATCAATAACCTCTCAATATTGATCCCAGTGTATGCTTTCTGGTGTGGATCCATCACCACTGGGGAGAATCAGTGTGTTACAGAACAAACCCCAAAATTTCCTCCTTTGTTAGCTTTGTCCCCTGTGAATGGACAGTAAAGGGCCTTGGAGGGGCTGGATGGGGATGGAGAACTTGAGGCTGGGTGTTGCAGCCCCATGGGTTGCAGGTGTGATGGTGGCCTCTCCTAGAGTGCTGCCAAGATGGCACTCGCTGGAGGGAATTAATTCTTACCGGAGACTTGATGGTGAGCTGTGAGGGTGTGGTGGCTCGTTCCTGTTCTGCATTGGAGCTTCCTGTTCCCAGCTCAGTTAAAGGAGGAAAGGGCTGGCAGCTCTGCACATGGGCTGCAGCTCAGCCCAGGCGTGTTCTGAGTGGGTTTGTGCCCTAAGCCATAGTTCTTAGGGCTAGAAGGAATCGCCTCACGTTGTGCCAGGGGAGGTTCAGGCTGGAAATGAGACATTTCTGCTCAGAAAGAACAGTCAGGCACTGGGAGGGGTTGCCCAGGGAGGTGGTGGAATCACCATCCCTGGGGGTGTTCAAGACTGGATGTGGTGTTTAGGGACATGGTTTTGTGGGTGACATTGGTGGTAGGGGAATGGTTGGACCAGATGGTCTTGGAGGGCTTTGCCAACCTGAACGATTTGATGGTTCTGCCAAACCTTGCTCAGCTTCCCACAGAAAACGGTAGGACTTAGGCAGCCAGGGACAGCGTAACCTGGTTTAGGACTGCAAACAAAGGCATCTTTGTGTGCCTCGCTGCGAGCTTTCTCTCCCGTTCTTTGCAAATTCTGCCTTGGGGACACTCAAGCCCCAAAGCGTGAAGTTAGCAGACCCGTGCCAGAAGATTTCGGTGGTGGGCACACGGGTCCCTTTCAATCTGCACCCTCGGAGCCCTGCACCCTCTCCTCCCTGCTGGCAAGGCCGGTGCCCGCAGCCCTTCCCTTCCCTTCCCTTCCCTTCCCTTCCCTTCCCTTCCCTTCCCTTCCCTTCCCTTCCCTTCCCTTCCCTTCCCTTCCCTTCCCTTCCCTTCCCTCACGCCCCATTCGAGGCGGGGGCAGCCGCCTCCCCCCGGCTTTAAATGCGTGGCGGCGGGGCGGGCAGGGCAGGCAGGGGGGCACCATGCGGCGGCCTCTCGGCATCCTGGGCTGTTGCCCGCTGCTCCTGCTCCTCCTGCTGCTCCTGCAGCCCGGGGCACGGAGCGTCCCGCACCGCCTCCGCCGGCAGCCGCTGGGCAGCGGCTTCTCCGGGAGCCACGGCGCGGCAGGTACCGGCCCTGCTGCCCCCCGGGTCCCCCCCGGCCGGAGCTGCCTCCTCTGCCGGGGGCTGCCCTGCCCCGGGGATGATGCCTGGAGCTCGCTGCCTGCCTGCTTTGCTCGCTGCTACCCGGCCTCTCCGGGTGCTGCCTGCCCTGGCTGCTCTTTGGGATTTTTTCCCTGCTTGCTTTTGCAAAGGGGGACTGGAAAGGTGTGTGTTGGGGACATCTTGCTGGAGCTGCAGAGGTCCAAGGGTGTGCTTGTAGGCAGAAGTGGCAACCACTTGGACCGGCTGACCTCCAGAGGTCCCTTCCAACCCCGGCCATTCTGTGATTCCCTTCCCTTCCCTTCCCTTCCCTTCCCTTCCTTCCCTTCCCTTCCCTTCCCTTCCCTTCCCTTCCCTTCCCTTCCCTTCCCTTCCCTTCCCTTCCCTTCCCTTCCCTTCCCTTCCCTTCCCTTCCCTTCCCTTCCCTTCCCCTCTTTTCTCCCTATCTACCTGTTTAATTTTCAAACCATCTCTATTTCAGACTCATAGCAACACTAGGCTCCTGAAAAGTTTTGTTCCCTAATCTAAAAAAGATGTTTTTTCTACATTTTCTTTAGGATGAACATTGTGCATCTTTTTTCTTTCATCTCTTCAGATACATGTGCATGTACAAATATTTCCTCATATTCCTCCAGGCTTCACAAGAGGCACAAAGCCATTCTTCTCAATGCTTATGCAAACTCTGAGCTATGGGATGCATGTAGAATTATGTATAATGTACCTGCATGGGATCTTAGATTCTTGCAGTCCATTTCTCTGTCCCAAAGCAAAATCAGCTCTATTGCTGTGCTTCATGGTTGAAGTAAGATGTACACTTGCAAAAGAGAAAAAAGTTCTTTAACATATTGGAAAACAAGCTTTGTTTTCATCTCTGCTTTTAAGAGACTTCTGAAGAAAATGTCTTTTTTTTTTTTTTTTTTCTTAAAGCTGGAGTGGAATAATAAGTCATCCTGATCGTAGCTGGGAGATGTGTATCAGGTTCCAAAAGTTACTCTTCACAGAGTATATTCAAGCTGACTGAACACTTTTTGCTAGGCAATAATACTTGAGCAGGAGCATCTTCTTTGTAGGAACACTCTGCTTTTGGGCAGTCTGTTTTTTCTTAAACCAGTAGTATAAATCCATACTTGATGATAGAAACTAAGTTCATGATGGCATCAAGGTCAAGCTCCCAGGACAGAGAGCGCTGAGCATTGGTTGCCTGCTGCTGCTGTCTCGATTCTTTTTAGTTTTCCTTGCAGAGATGCTTGTCCTCACTGAGCTATGGCTTTTCTGTTCAGTCTAGATTTCTATGCCAGTGAGAAACTTTAGAAGCTACAAATGTGTGTGTAAATGTTCATTTTGACATGTAAAATTGCTTCATGAATAATAACTTCTACATATAATAACTGCTATAGAAGCTTTAACGCAGTAACAACTGCTTAAGAAGCATTTATCACAGCATGGTCTGCATCATGTTCCTGTTGGTCTTTATTTCTTCTTGTTGTGTACTTTGGATTGTGAATTACAAACAAGAAATAATTTCCAGTCGTCAATCTGCTATATTGTTAACAGCTACTGCTAACAAATATTGTTAACATCTGTTCGCTATGCAATCTGTCCCATTGTTTTACTGCTTTATTTCTGTTCTCATAAAAATGAATTCAAGCTTTATCTGTAAGAAGAAAAAGTAAGTTCATTTACGTATCAATAAAACATCTCTGTGTAGGCTGCTACATGCGAACTACAACCCCTTGTTTCAAGGATAGTCGGACATTATCCTGTGGGCTCAATGTGACAATTTTTTAATGCTTAAAAGTGCTCAGTCATGTACTACTTGTCAAAAGGACTACTTAAGAATTTCTCATGAGTTGCCCCTATAATTTTAAGACTCTTCCTAGAGAATGAAGGGTGCCTGTGTTTATCTGGTGGAGGTAGTTTGCCATCACAGTCCCGTGCAGATGACTGATGTGCTTTCCTTCCCTCCTGACAGACTCTGCCTGCAAGAACCGGCCCCTAGACCTTGTCTTCATCATAGACAGCTCCCGTAGTGTCCGACCTGAAGAGTTTGAGAAAGTGAAAGTCTTTCTGTCAAAAATGATTGACACTCTGGATGTTGGTGAAAGAACAACCCGCGTGGCAGTCATGAATTATGCCAGCACTGTCAAGGTAGAGTTTCCCCTCCGGACCCACTTTGATAAAGCCTCAATGAAGGAGGCCATCTCTCACATTCAGCCTTTGTCTGCTGGCACAATGACTGGCCTTGCCATCCAAACTGCCATGGATGAAGTCTTCACCGAGGAGATGGGTACCCGGCCAGCAAGCTTCAATATCCCCAAGGTGGTCATTGTCGTGACAGATGGACGGCCGCAAGACCAGGTTCAAGACGTGGCAGCGAGCGCCCGGGCAGCTGGCATTGAGATCTACGCCGTTGGGGTAGATCGTGCCGACATGCAGTCCCTGAGGGTGATGGCCAGCGAGCCACTGGATGAACACGTCTTTTATGTGGAGACATATGGTGTGATTGAAAAGCTGACATCCAAGTTTAGAGAGACTTTCTGCGGTAAGGTGGTCAGTCCAAGACGGTAGTGTAATTTGGCTCCTTTTGGCTCCAACTGTGGTTCCACTCCCTAAGAAAGAAGTTTTTATTTCGAGAAGTGTTATGTATTGCATTTACATATTTCCATTGCCATCGGTTGGGCAAACAAGTCAACCCTTTTATTCAGTGGAGGCCGAGTAATCGCCTTTCACTTTGAATAGTAACCTCACCGTGCAAGGAACAGGACCGATTTCAGGGGATGTTCTTGTGTAGTTGGCATGATTTAGTGCATGAGAAGGCACTGCAGCCTGGCTGGGATTCAGCTACATCCTGTTACTGACGTGCTGAGGGCCCACGCTGGAGCTGTGCAGGCTGCTCATTTCTGTTCCCGTCTGGATAGGAAAGTAGGAGGGTGGAAGTGTGGTTCTGAAGAGCTCCTCATAGGTTCAGAGTACAAAAATCAGGTGAACTGCCGCACTAGCTTGAGAAATTTGAGGTAGGACAAAGTTTCCGAACACAATGATGTGTTCTCTCAGGATGAGCTTTCATGGGGCAGGTATTCCTGGGCTTTTTTAGTGTGCCGGATTTCCACCTTTCCCTGTTCCTGTGCCACTTGATTTTTGACAGCTGCTTCAGCAGCTCCTGGGGGCTAGGCCAAATTAGCTTTGCTCTTTGAGGGCTGGATGTATGTATGGTTTGAACTCCACTACAATGCTAGGCCAACGTGGGTTGTCATTGTCATTGGCAAAAATCTATGGTGTACCTGGAGAATTGAGGTTTGCCCATAAACAGCTTTGCCACAGCCCTACCCACAAAGAAACAATGACTTTTTGACAATTAAAGCAACTTGTATTAAGTAGTTTTTCCAGTAAAATTCTAAGGAAATGCCTTGTAAAATAACTCTCTGGCAAGTAACATCAGGTGTAAAGAACGTTGTGAGAGAATTCAAGTAGCAGCCATTGCCTCAGGAACTTGGCTGGCAAGAATGTGTTACTTCGTTATTTCAGAGCCTTGCTAAAAATTACCACTGTACCTTTTGAATACATTTAGAGTGAATAGACTTCTTTCTCTAGGTATGAACTAAATGTGTAGGACCATCTGTAGGCAGGACACTTTGCCCAATAATTAACATAGGAAATGCTTGAGGTCTGGCTTGACATCATGTTGTGTTGCTGGTGTGACCACATCCTCTTTCTGGTAGCTGGAAGCGGGTACAAGCTCCCACCTACCTGGACAGGTATGCAGGTATGAGCGCTGTGAAAATAGCAAGTCTAGTGAAAGCAAGTCCTTTCATAGCACTCAAGAAAAATCTCTTGTTCTGAAATGTAATACTACTGTTTATTGTGATGAGGCATAGGAATTATTCTCCCGTTAAGCTGGAGGATAAACCAAAGAGAGCTCACACTTACATATTTCCAGTGTAACTCTGAGTATCCTATATGCAGTTAGCCAGAATCTGTAGGATTCATGAACAAAAACGGGGTAAAGGCCATGCTTTTTCAAAAGGCTCTTACAAACCAAACGAATCTAAGACAGTCTTGTTATATAGTGTGGGTAAACCAAGTCTTTTCCAGCTCCGAACTGCTTTTTGGACAGACAGAAATCTGGACTCACCAGTGACAATTAGGATGTTCTTTGCGTTGGCCAAGCCAAACAAGTTTGTTTGTGGGGTGAACTGAAAACAGGAAAACTAATGTTCAGGGGCAAAATAGTTGGCTAAGATCAGGTCCTTGATGCATTGAGAGCATCATTCAGTGTGAGACCATCTTCGAGATGGAAAATCTTCACCTTGAATTGGTGTCAAAGCCAGTGGAAGCTTGCCTTTCCTACCACAAAAATCTGACCAGTTGAATCTGAGCTTCTCAGTTTGCTTGAAAATATCACCCGCAGATTTTGTTCATAAATCATTCATATGAATTTTCTTATTCCCAAGAATATAACAGAATGAAAAGACCCTGGCTTGGTTTCAGATTTTTTTTCCAATAGATGAGACACACTTTCTGTCTTATAAGGGGATATCTAAATCTTCCATACTTCAGAAAACAAGAAATGTTGCCTTACATTCAGAAATCATGAGAACATTCAAGAACTCTTGTTCGTCATTTCTTATCTCACCACTGCTGCTTTTAAGTTGGTTTTACCATTATGCCAGATGCACATTGCAGCTATTCATCTCAGTAGTATCTCAGGTAATAACTCAACAGGCTTGTCTCTTCATTTTTCTTTTCCTCTTTGATTCCATCTTCCTTTTCATTCCCATTTATGCCTTCTCCCATTTTTTCAGCTTTCCCTCCATCTTCCCTTCCCCTTTTAATCTCACCTAAATTTAGTCATTTAAAAATCATCTAAGTTTAAGTGAGTATCTAGGTTTCCTTTACAGGCACAGAGGAATCATATCCAAAGCTAAATACACTTGAGAAAAACTGGACAGAGGTTAATTAATTAGGTGGTCAGACCTGTGAATGAAAAGACTGTCAGCACATGTAGCTCATTGCAGAGACAGCCCAGTGTTATCACAGGCATTTTGTCTGCCCTGTCACAACAGCAAACTTATATCCAGCTGCCATCCATCATGCTGCTTTTCATATCGCTGTTTTCTCATTCCGATGAGATAACCTTACTGTCTGCTGGGGAATTAGCCAGTCTGCTCAAATTTCATCTCATTTTGTAGCACACAGTTTCATTTTCTCTAAGCCTTGGGCATTATTTCTGTATTGTCTTTCTGCCAGGAGGTTGCCGTGCCTGTAAAGCTGCCTTACTGTAGGCTTCCCTCCATATCCTCTTTTGGACATGACTTTTTAAACCTGATGGAGCCAGGCAGCTGCAGCTCTCACATGCCCATCTTGCACTGCCTGGGTTCCTCGGTGGCTGATCCGCCTGGACCAGAGTTCCACAAACACTCTTTCTATCCTTAAGACGACAGCCTGTTATCCTAGCGCCTCTGAGTTGTTTTTCTGTTGCTCCTAGTCTTGTTGCTCTTTCTGTTGTAATTTAGTTTATTTTATTGTGCCGTCACATTTCATTTTACATGAGAGGCTTTTTACAGTACAGCAGGAATTCATAAATCAGCTTGTATGCCAGTAAGCAGAGTTTAGTAAGTTAAACCAAGTCTTTTTCATTACCTTCCCATTTCCAACATAACGGTCCTAAATGCTTAAAATCTCTCCCTGTCTCCCTCCTTTTGCAGATCAATCTTGTCTTTCTGCCCCCTCAGATGTGGAGCTATTTTGGAGTCATTTATGACCTCTTTCTTCTGGCTGCCAAATGATGCAAAAGATGACTGCAACTTCTGTGATAGTGACACAGTACTGAAATTTCCTACTACTAATCCAGCAGACAGTGCTAGATGTGAAGTACTTTTGTAAGAGTAAATTATTAATGAATGTTTATTTCCTTTGGGATGACTGAAATGCTTTTTGTGTAAACGCCCTCTGTAGCTGCGAATACGTGTGCGCTTGGGACCCATGACTGTGAGCAGGTCTGCGTGAGTAACGGTGGATCCTACCTTTGCGATTGCTTTGAAGGCTACACGCTGAATCCAGATAAGAGAACTTGCTCAGGTATTACTCCTTTTGTAAATTAAATTAAATCAGAAAACAAAAATAAATCTCTTTTTAATAACACAGTTGGATTTCAGAAGCTACTTTTGTACTTCTGTTGAAACAGCAAACGTCTGAATCCCTTTCAATAATAAATCTAATAATAAATAATAAATAAATACGTCTTCTGCAAGCAATGGTGAGAAGTAGTTTGATTGCCTCACCATCCTTTTTATTATGCCTGTAGAACCATTCATTAGGGCCAGATGCCAAAACAAAGTCTTCAGATGTGGACACCATGTAGATATTTTCTCCTACCATTTACTCTAATTCCTTCAATTACTCTTGCCATTTCTGAGCTGATTCCAAATGGAAATGCATTTGAAAATGTTCCTCTCGCATGCATTTTGCAGTTGTGGATGTGTGTGCACCTGGGAAGCATGAATGTGATCAGATCTGCGTGAGCAACAACGGGTCCTATGTCTGTGAATGCTATGAAGGCTACACCCTAAACCCAGATAAAAAGACTTGCTCAGGTAAGAATTAAAGGCTACTTTAATATATGAAACTTATGGTGACATGGACATATTTTCCAAGTTATCTTCATGGCTTCTAGTTGAAAAACCGCTTGCAGATATCGACTCTTAAAATGAGAATTCACCTGTAGCCTTTCCCCTTGGTTCAAATACCAATAAAATTGTACTTTTATTTAAATGTCATGAGTTAAAATAAATTGACAAATAAATAAATTGTCATTGACTTACCATTTCATGATTTTCATTGTACTTCATAAATATAGTCCCTGGGAGAGGAGAAACCTAAGCTAGAGATGCCCACCAGCACTGTGTCTCCACTGGAGACCAAGTGCCATTGGTCCATAGAGAACTTAAAACCTGATGATTTTTCCACATCCCCTCCATCTCCACTGTCAAAACTCAGTGTTTTTGTTTGCTTGATATTTTGTTTTGTTTTGTTTTACAACTTGCTGCTTCTGTTTCTAAGCTATGCAGGGCTCCACAATATAGCAACCCCAGCCTTTCACCATAAGCACTTTCATCCTTTCCTTCTCCTTGAATTGTCACCCTGAAAAGTTGGCTTATTATAAAAACTTTTTCCCCCAAGATTTTTTTTTTAATTTTCTGGAGTTGTTCCTTTAAATCCAGAAGTTTTGAGCAGCATCAGCCTTGGAGTAGCTATTTTGTACCTAGTAAGAGCCTCTCTCCCTTGGAGAACACATAAGCACAACTCTCACTGAAGTTTTCATACCTCTCATTTCTGAGGAAAGAAACACCTCCCAGTGTTTCTGCTTCGTTTTTGGCACTGTTGTTGTTCTAACTAGGTTTCATATCTCCTTGCCATTTAACAGTACTTGTACATGACCTCCCTAGCTTTTTGTGCCGGCCTTCAGATGAGAGTATGAATTTGGGTTCATTATCCTTCCTGCTAATATTGCACGAAACAACAACATGGCAGGTTATTGCCTGTCTCCGTGCGGCGCTTTAGCTTCAGCGTGTGTGGGGTTATTCAAGGCAGCCAGAATTGCAGATGGAAATCAGCCTGTGCAAGACGTGGTGTAGTGATGTCCTGGAGCCCAGATATCTGCCTCCTGCATTAAATGCTCAGTAACCGAATTCAGCTGTCTGCAGCATAATATGATAATGTAGTAAGGCACTGGTTGGATCCTATTTTGAATCCTAATTAAATTGTGTTTATAAATGTTGAAGTATCTAAAGTACTTGAGTGTCAGTGAGAGATTAATTGGTTTCTTCTCTAAAACATGGTCCTCCACAGCCATGGACTTGTGTGCATCTGGGAGGCATGACTGTGCACAAGTCTGTCGGAGAACCGATGGATCCTACAGCTGCGACTGCTTTGAAGGATTCACTCTGAATCCAGATAAGAAGACTTGCTCAGGTAGGACCTGGTCAAGGAAATACGGTGTTCAGCTAACATCAAATAACTCTTCTAAGTCAGGTCTATTTATGTTATTTTTCTAATAAATTACACAAGAGTTTGTACGACTCCCGAAAGCACAGTGCAACTTCAGGTTTTCTTCACGTTTCCAGTAATAATTTGAGACTTGTGACTCTTCAACAGCTGTGTGAAGCGTGTAATTGCTGTAATTAAAATGCCACTTGGCATTTCCCTGGGGACTTCACAATATTTTCACTCTCAAGGGGCACGAATTGCCTTATCCACCTGAGAGAGGAGAAGGATAATATATTCGGTGGGAATATGTCACATGCACTACCTGTCTCAGGAAGCTCTTCAGCAAACAAGCATAACGAAGATGTGGGAATGAGAGGAAGAAGAGCAGGGGATGTACAGGAGGACAGACTACAGCCTGTGTAATCACACCATGAGTGTAATCACTCTTCCTGGTGGATGTGTTTGGAACTTAAAAAAATACTCCGGCTTTAGAGCTCTAAAGGCTGGAGAGAAATGTTCTTTCCCAGTGCTGGTCTCTTGTGGAGAACAGAAGCATTGACATGGTCGGTACATAAGGATGTATATATAAACAATACATATGGTACATATGGCTTAATATGTATTCTGTATCATTTTCACTTGATTAGCATTTGAAGTTCACCCTTCATTTCCTTGTATGTCTCACTGATGATTTATTTATATAAAACCCTTTTTTCCACTTTCATCATAATCCCTTTCCTTACTATATTTTGCGTGACAAACCCAGGCTTCCAATTCCAGGAAATTCCTACGCAAATCCCTCCAATTAATTCACAGCTCTTGCATCTCAAAGAGGCAAAAACGTTTTCTTGATATTTCTTCCTGCCTAGTTGAGGAGCTGATTTTGTAAATCAGTTCCTAAGATTAACTCTCAGCTGGTATTACATAGAGACTGTAAACATCTGTGAAGGAATGTGAATTCAGTGAGGCATCCCTTTTGTGAGTCCAGTCCTCAGTCTCCTTTCATAGCAACGATCATCCCCCTGCATACTCAAATTTCAGATTATTTCTCCAATATGCTTTTTTTTTTCTTTCGACTCTCATTTTTCACTAGGCTGCTTGTGATTTCTCAACTACCTCCAGGTCTCTGTGATATAACAAAAATAGCATAGATCCAAGAGGGGCTCTTTTCTTTCTTGTTTACTTGCTTCTTTCTTCCTTTTTCTGTTTCTTTATTTCTCTCCTTTCTTTCTTCAGTTGTTTTTGCCTTACAGGACCTCCTTACTGCAAAAATATCCAAATATAGGAACTCCTCAACTTGCTTTTTTGGAGTTGATGTGTTAAATTTGGCAGAAAACCTCTGCCTCACACATAAAGTGCCCACTTTGTAACTGGCAGTGGGTGCCATGTCTTTCTTTTTTTTTAGCAGCCATGTATACTCTTCTGTTTATGGTCTTTTCACTCCATAAAACAGTGTCTTATCCAACTCCATCAGAGCTGAAAAAATGCCAAATGCTCTCTTAAAACCCAGATATTTGTTCTCTGAAATTCCTTTGGATAATTATTTTGTAACTGGGTCACTGCTAGTTCAGTTCCTTCTGCAATCTGTTACAACACAAAAAAAGCGTTGCTGCAGTTCCAAAAAATCATACGAACTTCGTGATGTTGACAGACAGATAAGAACACACTCTGTATACCTTACTGCAGCTAACAGCGTGCTGATGTGCAATGAGAACGTCCTGGTTTGAATCCAGATGGGAACTACTGATGCCAAATAAAGAGTCTGAAGTGTGGGTATTGGTTAATATTCTTCTCCAATGCCTTCCTTAGCTGCTGACATGTGTGCACCTGGCAGGCATGACTGCGAGCAGGTCTGTGTTAGAGATGATCTCTTCTATACCTGTGACTGCTACCAAGGCTACACCCTGAACCCAGACAAGAAGACATGCTCAAGTAAGTCCAGATTGCTGCCCCCTGCTCCCCCATGCCCCCCCCCAACCAAGCAGATGTATTGAAATCACTCTCATTATCAGGTTAATGTATCTATTTAAGAAACTTATATGTGCATTTAAGCATTATAAGACAGTTTTGTGTCACTCTGCCTTTTCCTCTTCGAGCATCACTGTAGAGCTTACAGATAGGCAGAGAAGGACCTGGGAGTGATAGTGGACAGTCGGCTGAATATGAGCCAGCAGTGTGCTCAGGTGGCCAAGAAGGCCAACAGCATCCTGGCTTGTATCAGAAACAGTGTGACCAGCAGGGCTAGGGAGGTGATCGTCCCCCTGTACTTGGCTCTGGTGAGGCCGCACCTCGAGTACTGTGTTCAGTTTTGGGCCCCTCGCTACAAGAAGGACATCGAGGTGCTTGAGCGAGTCCAGAGAAGGGCAATGAAGCTGGTGAGGGGCCTGGAGAACAAGTCCTACGAGGAGTGGCTGAGGGAGCTGGGCTTGTTCAGCCTGGAGAAAAGGAGGCTCAGGGGTGACCTTATCGCTCTCTACAGGTACTTTAAAGGAGGCTGTAGCGAGGTGGGGGTTGGCCTGTTCTCCCACGTGCCTGGTGACAGGACGAGGGGGAATGGGCTAAAGTTGCGCCAGGGGAGTTTTAGGTGGGATGTTAGGAAGAACTCCTTTACTGAAAGGGTTGTTAGACACTGGAACAGGCTGCCCAGGGAAGTGGTGGAGTCACCATCCATGGAAGTCTTTAAAAGATGTTTAGATGTAGAGCTTAGGGATATGGTTTAGTGGGGACTGTTAGCGTTAGGTCAGAGGTTGGACTCAATGATCTTGAGGTCTCTTCCAACCTAGAAATTCTGTGATTCTGTGATCATGTAGGTACATCAGGTACTTCATGTGCACCAGTGCCATTAACTGTCTAGCATTTGCTCCTTCCTTATCACCCTGTCGTGAAGGCCTTCACTGTATTTCACTAGGTGCAATTATGCAACACAGCAAACCCAGAACTGAGAAATAATTGAAGAGACAAGAGCTGGGGTTAGTCACACAGTCACACACTTTGCAGTGCTGTGGAAACTGCATGCCATCATGCAGGAGACAGCCTGAGGTGATGTCCTCCCTCCAGGTTGAATTTCATTTCACTGTTTGTTTCTTTAGCTTCTCAGTGGCTTTACCTTATGCTAAAAATGCTATTATTTTAAAAGCCTTCCTTTCCTGCCCAGCATCCTCAATGGAAAGCTACCATGTACTGGAAGCCTTTCCTAGCATATCTTTGGAGGTGAGCTGGTGCTTCACAACTGGTTAGGTTAGAGAGCTGTGGTCAGCATCACAGGCTGTAAAAGTAAGGACCGAGAGAGACCCCAGTAAAACAACTGGTTTTAGGTCACTGCCCCAAGGCAACATCAGTTACACATCTCAGCAGCAGCTGGTGAGAGTTCATGCAGTATAAGTTCCCAGCATGGAAAAGTACTGCCATTGGGAAACGTTTTAAAAGGTTTTCATGTTTTTGGATAACTGCTTCACCAAAATGCATTTTGTAGGAATCGATGTGTGCGCACCAGGAACCCATGACTGCGAGCAGGTCTGTGTGAGTAACGAGGGGTCGTACACCTGTGACTGCTACGAAGGCTTTACCTTAAACCCAGACGAGAAGACATGCTCAAGTAATGATTTAATATTTTTATTATGAACATGTTTATTGAAGTACCTCTCTTTAATGTGTTAAATCCTTTCAATCTCCATGAGAAACTTTTTGTCAACTCACTAACTCCCTAAAAGTATAATCCCTTTTCATTCTTTTCTATTTCCAATAATGTTTTGAGCTAGTTTGATCCTTCTTTAGTTATAGCACTTACTGTATTTAAAACTGCACTTGACTCTTACCTGTCACCACACATTTAAGGACTTCATTGTATTTTATTTTTTTTTAAATCTGTTATAATCTGAATTTCCTTATGAAACATGAGTAACTAGGAGTACTGGCAAGGTTGGGTTTTGGAGCATCTGTCTCTGAGGCATAGGACTCAATTGTGTACCAGCATAAAGAGGAGAGTGGGGGCTGGAAGGGAACACAACTGGTGTCAGAAGAATTGCAGTAATAGAGCCCATGCTCTTTTCCACTCCTCCAATTGCATGGGCTATAACGGTATAAACTATTTGCAGAGCCTCTGCAGCATTTGATGCTTAAGGTAGGTTGGAAAGGACATAAGAGGTATCTTGTCTGATCTGCTACTGCTTGGAGCAGGAATGATCTGACATTACATGAAATTGCCCTGTGTAAAAACAATGTGTAAAAAGAGACATTTTATATAATGTCTTTTATATAGCTAATAAGAATGTAGCTAAACACCATCTACTAAACTAATAATTTGTGTAGGTCTGGACTTAAACATAAATACAGTGTAAAAAAACAACTAGCATGTTTTGTGTGACTTGTTGGGCATCCCAGTAGCAGTGGAATTGCCCAAGATTTTGCATATCAAATACTGGAAGACTCTAAATTTCACAGAAGCTCTGCAGAAGTCTTCAGGATACCCTTGGACAGTTGCCGTATGTAAAAGTAATTCGGTTAAAGCAGACATAATTCAAGGAGGATCAGTATCTGTCACTGGAGAATTTAAATGCAAACATGCAAACTTCACTGGCAGTCAGTTGGAAACCAACCACATTGGTGTGATATTTTGAACTGGCCCTCCTCCAGCTGAATCTTGAACAGCTCTTCTTTGTACATCGGCCATAAAGCCGGCAGGATGTTTCAAAATAGGGAGCTGAACAAATACAGGTTCAGTGGAATCAAGAAGACACCAGTTTCTGTGGTGAAATTCGCAAACGAATTTTTGCACTGCTTGAAATGAATCTGTTCAAAGATTATTTTTTTTTCAGTGAAACACTGAATGGACAAACTTTTGAAATTCATATTTCAGTCATTTTCTGAAGCAGTCATCAGTTTCCATGCAAAATGGAAATATCAATGGCATGATAAATAAAGAGAGAAACCAAAATAATTAAGAAAAAAAAAAATATAAACTATCTCCAGGTACAGTATTCCTATTGTTTTACTGTTAAAATGGTCGCATAATTTGTTTAGTGATTGAAAAAAAAAATTAAAAAAAAAACAATTGAATAATCTTCTGCCAATGCCCTTGCAAGCAATGTAAAAAACACTTGTATAAGGAAACAGCAATTACATGCAAATTATCTCTTTTTGAAAGGGCATTTCATAATTGTAGATCTTTTAAGGAGGTGCTGCCTTTAGAAGCTTAGTATTCTGGCCTCAAACGTACCTGGTAATCTCACTATAGTAGCAGTGCTTCAGGAGTTGTTGGTATTATTTGTTCTTAACCTGAAGCAACTGGTGTAGCTTATATATTTCCTTTATGGAGTAGGTGAAGTTAACTTGCCTTTCACAGAGATAAGAATTCGCAGTCATCAGCGGATGACATGTCATTATGCCACTATCAAATTGTCACCTCTCTGAGCCCTTTGTTTATGAACATTGCTGGTTTTGTGGTAGATTATGGAGACAAAAGAATTCTTGAAGACAATTGAGGCCCTGGTCCTTGATAAGCCTGCAAGTCTGAGGGCAAGAAGCAGAAACAGATTAATTGGAATCACTGCAAAGGATGGCAATGTTTGCTTCCTCTTCCTTAAGAGGCTGATTACTTCTCTTCCATACTGACTCCTCTATTAATATCGCTGTGCTTTCCTACCAGATTTTAAATTCATTTGAACCCATTTGACCTTTGTTGTTCCCTCCATATTCCCTCCATTGATGTGACATTGGATGGACTCATGTCCACACCTCCTGATGAATGAGGAACGACACTCCCTGTGCACGGATATTGCCACTGTTATAAACCAAGAGTATTTGGGAGGTGAACCACGTTGATGACACAGCTGAAACTCTACTGTTTACTATTGAAAATGAATGCACGTGTTCCTGTTATTTTGCATTATTTACAAAGTGGTAAAAGTGCTTGTCCTGCTCCTGGAGATAGGACACATATGCCTCCAGCTACGTGCTGGTCCCCATCTCTGCCACCTTTCCCTCCTGACTGCCCTGGGCTGCAGTCCCACAGCCTGGTTTCAGCTCCCCTTGCAGAATCTTGCATTTTCTTGGCTTTTAAACATTTTCCTAAGTATTCTAAATGCTGTTTTCTCTCTTAGGAGCCTCAACAAGCAGTCTTGTAACAACTGAGGAGGCCTGTAAGTGTGAAGCCATAGCTGCACTGCAGGACTCGGTCACTTCACGCCTCCAAGCTCTGTCCACAAAACATATCCTTTTTCTTATGTGTTCAGCTCTTCACTGGTATTTTGGAGGTAGCTGTTTTGATACAAGCTGCAAGGGAACACGTTTCTCAACAGAAAGTATTTTCTTGGTGATTTTATTAACATCAGGGAGTGAAATTTTGCATGTTGCCAATACTGTTACGTTTTCATATTTCCTTTTCATATCACGGTACAGATAAGATGCACATCCTCACGTCACCAGGATAATATGTGTTACATTGAAAATCAAACATTGCTCTATTTGTAATTCTTTCAGAGGACGTTTACAGCACATGCTCACTTCTGAGCTCTGCTATTAGTAGCCTGTGTATGTCCCCAAATTTTCGGACACCTTCACATGCAGCAGTAACAGTCGTCTGACCAGCTGTGGTCGGGCTTCCAACTCCACAGGCAGGCAGGGTCCCAAATAGTTTTCATGCAAGTTCTCTTGTGCAAAAAACTGCTAGCCTATTACTACTCAGCTGCTGGGATATATCAGGCAGATATCAGGAAGAGTGGGAGGGTGCTGAGTGTGGGGTACTGGGCGAGCATCCAGGCTGCAGCGCATCCCAGGCGTGGGCTGCAGGGTTCACTGGCTTCATTCATTGCACTGCGGCAGCAAGGAGAAATGTAGCTGGCCCCCGGATTAGACATTTCACAAACATGTGGGAGGAAAAATAAAAGTGGTGAATTCTGTGGTGTGGTAGCAAACCTGAATGCTGCAATAAATGTCCTCAGCTGGAATGAGAAGAACTAATAACTGGATGTTGGACAAGCTGTGATTCAGCATCAGGCACAATTTTTGAAAGTGAGAGTGGTTGATCACGGTGACCGTTTACCAAGGGTTGGGGTAGGTTTTCAGTGCTGGAAATTTCTGAGACTACATGCTTTTCTTCTGTGAAAGGTGCTCTTGTTCAAATAGGAATTAATATAGGGGAGTATTAGGTCTGTGGTTGTCATCCTGATCCCTGGGGCTACAAAATCAAGGAAGGGGGATATTTCAGATCAATCAAAGCGGGAGACTACTAAGTTTTGTATATTAACTCATCATTTATACAGATAAATGGCTTCTTCAGTTCACCAAGTTTTCTGAAAGCCATATGAAGTCTTCTACCAAATATACAAGTTTCCCAGTTCTTGAATAAATTCAAAGTTATTTTTATAGGTCTAAGTGTAAATCCCTCTCTTTGTAGGGTCCCTTGAATTCGCTTTATCTGCCTGGGAAGGGTGAAGGGGAGAATCTAATTTTCCTTGGATCATGCATCATTCCAGGGAGTCTAAGTAATTAAAACTGAGTGCCAAGTTAATTAACCCTGTAATGTCATCTTGGTAGTAGCACAATATCTATCTCAAAAGAACAGACTATCTCTCTGCCCCAAAGCACTAATGTTAAATGAGATGGTGGTAGTTTCAAGTTAGCAATACAATCATTACAAAAAATTGATGCTTTCTTTCAAAGTCCTTTGCTGAGCAATTTGTATCCCTAGCTTCCTTTTGAACCAAACTGGAAAAAGCAGCATCACCCGCTACTCCTCAGCCCTAAATGTCACTCGCTCTAACTTCTTATAAGAAATTGGGGTTGTAGAGAAAATTTAGGAAGTTAACAAACCCTGACCTCTCTAAAATGTTTTGAAAGTTCTAGTTCAAGCATGTATTGATCTCATTTAGAATCTGATTTTCTCTGTAAAATGCAGTAATGAGAAACATAAATAAACCAAACCTCATAGCCACCTATTGTATTGCCCTTAACAACTGACCACTAGATGAAGTGTCTGAGAAGCTGCAAGCATATCAAGAGAGACAGCAGGTTGTCTGAGCTACCATTCTACTTAGATAGATCCCAAAATGATCTTTCAGAAGCAATTATTTTTTATTGTGTTCAGCAAGCTTTAATTTGTTGCACAGCTTACAGAACAGCATTTGGTTTGTTATTATTGACAAGTGTCAAGAAGACTTCGGGAAGACAACCGTCTTGAAAATATGCCCTGAGGATCTTCATGTACGGTCACTTTGTAACCATAAAGCTACCTATACCTGCTGTGCTTCAGTCTGTACTGCCAGTAGTACAGCAGGTACCATCATTCTGCAGTAACTGCATTTTTATTCTTTGATTTAAAAGTAAATACAGGAAAGAAAGGAATGGAAAAGTATTCACATCATATAAAACTGTGAAATGGCTAGGCAGAGTAAAAATCGTGCCTCTGGCATTTGTCCATTAAAATGGAAAGTACTTTGTGGTCTTGTAACTTATTTTAATAAAATAAAGTATGATCAGCACACTGATGTTCTTTTTTTTAAATATATACAACTTAAAGTATGTGTGTTATGAAATAAACAGTTTAACAAAGGCAAGGAAACAAAACCTCAAAGATAGAAGAGGCACAAATGGAAGAAATCTGCATAATTAAACAGGACACTGTTCTTGAGTCACACAGTTGGAAAAAGAACAGTTTGATTTTGAAACCTACAACTCCTTGTTATTGTTGATAAGAAGGTTAATAGTTATTTCAAAGTTATTCTACACTTGGAAGGATGAAATACACGCTGCAGTTTAAGGTTTTTATCCTGCAAGATTTACTTACGTTAGCAATCAGTCATTCCTCTTGTCATTCCACAGACTTTCCTGGTGCCAGCTGGGCTTGCAGAAGCTGACAATTTACAAATTTCACTGTTAAAGGAAATCCACTTATTTAGCACACTTGCATGTGTAATCATGCAACTAAATCACAATCACAATTTTGTACATAATCATACAAAATAAATTACACGAAATATTAAATCAGTAGATGGTATGCCAAGGACATATTGTAACAACATTTGTGCTCGTGTCATACCCTGCAGGTTGTACATACAAACTATTTCAAGGAAAATCAGGCAGGAATTCAGTTAGAGGGCACGTACAATTATGAATGAATTATGCTGACATGGAGGTTCTCCTAGTTAATGCCTATTTTGTGGTATGTCTCCACTGATACTAATTTGTTGCCGTTCAATTACAGTCAGCATGGGACAACCTAGTTGTGCTATAGATGCTTCCTCAAAGAGCTGTATGTGCATATTTTTTTCTGTAACTTGTAGAGTTTTATATCCAGCACTTTACTTTGCTTATTTTCATGTCCTCACCTTGAACACGGGTATTATATAAGGATTTATAAGACCAGAAGTATGCCTTGGCCTCCGTAATTGGTAAGAATAAACAAGTTATAAATCTAATGCAAGACTTTTCCACTTCTTGGCAACTGGGATTGTATTACATTAGTCCCATTTACACTAGGGCTGGTTGTCAAATGAGATGTATAATTTTACATGATTGTGGAAAATTGTCCTGGGGGCCAGATCTACCTTGCAAGAGCTGGACAGGCTTTGTTTCACGTGCTAGTATTCATAATGTCGTTCTACCTTGCAGATGATAGTATTTAACATTCAATTCCTCTGAGCAAGTATCTTGTCTTACTTTGTGAGCACCAGACAAAATTCCAAGGTGATACAAGCATGTTTTTTTAAGAACATAAGAGCACGTCCTATTAAGTGAATTTGTAATATTATTTTATTTTAAATATAGATGTACTCATTTTATGGATGAGTATTTATACTGTTTCACTTATTGAGGCAATAGAACTTGACTAATGAAAAGAACTGTTATGAACAAGGATTAAAAATCTTTTGGATGATATTTTAAAATTATTTTTATTCTGCTTAAAACATTTTCGAACTTAACTCTAGCCATCTTATTCAGCTTTAAGATACTTTTAGGAGCTCAGCCTGATTTGTTTCATAGTTCTCTTACTTATATGCTTCTAAATTGGCACTAGTTAAAAAAATGGACGGTCAGTGCCTGAAGGTATATAAACATGTAAAAACGTACCTTCAATAAAATTATTTGATGATACCCAATGGATGGTTCTATTTCTTTACATTTTCAGATAGCCTCTCAGATGATGGGTATGGCAGCAAACTTGACAATATGCACGTGTGTGAACCTGGCTTCATCAAGATCCTCCTTTATGGATGGCATTGAACATTGCTTATATTTCAGTGTTTGCATTGTGGATAATTGCAATGTGAAGTACTTAGCCAGTGTGAAACTGAGGGTAATACCCTGGAGATGTAGCATTTGTACTGCATGAAGCTGGCGAGTGTTTAGAGCGGGATGCCAAAGAGGTTGCCTGGGCTCACCTTTTCTGTCCATCACAAGACAGCTTCAGCATGAAAATGTTTCATTTCACAGACAGGTCCCATCTAACTCGCCTTCTGGCCGCACTGCTGAGGAGCCAGGCTGCTCCTGAAGCCCTCTCTAGCCCTGGAGCAGCACGGGTCTGGGCCTGATCCCACACCCTCTGCACTGCTCCGTGCTATTTGTGAGCCCAGCACACACAATGACCATTTCCTCTCTCCAAAGGGCTCTTTTACCCCCTCTAACCCATTGAGTACAGATACTAGCCCGTGGAACTGCCCATTACAATAAATTAAGTGGTAAATTAAGTTGTGGGTGCATGGCAGTGCCTGTGAGGGAGCAAAATGTCATGCAACATGCGCTGCCAGCCATCATTTACTTCAAACAGCAGTGAAGGTTGGGCTAATTGTGGGGTTGGGGTAATCCTTAGCATGTACTGTTGTAAATTATGGCTTTAAACTTTTAAGATAAAATCATGGCTTTAAAAATAATGGTTTTAAACTAGAAGAGGGTAGGTTTAGATTAGATATAAGGAAGACATTATTTATTATGAGGGTGGTGAGGCACTGGAACAGGTTGCCCGGAGAGGCTGTGGATGACCCATCCCTGGAGGTGTTCAAGGCCAGGCTGGATGGGGCTTTTAGCAACCTTTGGTGGGAGGTGTCCCTGACCATGGCAGGGGCTGGAGTTTGATGGGCTCTAAGGTCCCGCACAACCCAAACTATTCTGTGATTTTAGGGCCCCTTGCTACAAGAAGAACATTGAGGTGCTCGAGCGAGTCCAGAGAAGGGCAACGAAGCTGGTGAGAGACCTGGAGAACAAGGCTTACGAGGAGTGGCTGAGGGAGCTGGGCTTGTTCAGTGTGGAGGAGGCTCAGGGGCGATCTTATCACACTCTACAGGTGTAATACACAATAACTGTTTGTTCATTGTCTTTTGTATTATAAAAACAAGGAGTTCTGTTTGAAGAGCGGGAGTTGCAAAAACTCCCTGGTGAAGTAAGGAGCTGTATAATGCTTGGCTAGACGCTATGAAAATTCTTTTGCTTAATGTAACAAAAAAGAGAACCCCTCCCCTTCTCTCCTTCTGCATCTCAGTTGCCTCTTTTGTTCAAAGACCCTGCTGCAAAGCTCATGTAACCATCTCCTGATAAGTTGCTAAACTAGTGTATCAACATCCTGCCTTCCTGTCTCATGCTGGGCCAACATGACCAAATAAAAAAAGAAGTTGAACCACAACGCTGAGGAAGACTACGGCCTTCATCTTCACGACCACCAGAGGGACAGAGATGACCCCCTAGCAACAGTGCGCGCAGTTACAGAATATACCAGGATGTGCTGCGTAATCCCGGAATTACCAAGATATAAAAAGGGACCCTGGCGGGGGTGAGGTGTGCGCCGTTGGCAGAGCCAAGACTCCCCAGCCGCCCAGTGCTGTTTTGCTTGCTGTTGCTTACTCAATAAATTCATTTCTATTATTAATGCAATGCTCTCTGAAAATTAATTAAGGGGGCAACTTATAACACAGGTACCTTAAAGGAGGCTGTAGTGAGGTGAGGGTTGGCCTGTTCTCCCACATGCCTGGTGACAGGACGAGGGGGAATGGGCTTAAGTTGCGCCACGGGAGTTTTAGGTTGGATGTTAGGAAGAAACTTCTTTACCGAAAGGGTTGTTAGACATTGGAACAGGCAGCCCAGGGAAGTGGTGGAGTCACCATCCCTGGAAGTCTTTAAAAGACGTTTAGATGTAGACTTTAGGGATATGGTTTTGTGGAGGACTGTTAGCGTTAGGTCAGAGGTTGGGCTTGTTTATCTTTGAGGTCTATTCCAACCCAGATGATTCTGTGATTCTGTCAAACAATACCAAAACACGACGCGCAAGTAATTCACAAACACTTTTATTTTCCTTTATTTCAAAGCAGCAAGCCCTTTACCAACTGCTTACCGCCACCTCCTACCCGAAGCAGACCACCCCACGTCCTCTCCCCTGTTCCCACCCCTTTTCCCCCCCCGCCATGCCAGGGGCGGGCCGCCCTCCCGGAAGCAGTGCAGCTTCTCTCCCGCGGCGCGCTTCCGGCGGCGGTTGCCAGGGCGACGGCGGCGCCGAGTGCGGGCAGGCCCCGGGAACGCCGCCGCTCGGAGCCCCTCGGCCGCCGCTCCCCCCTCACGATGTTCATCTACCTGTGCAAGAAGGTGCTGCCGGGTTGGGTTATAAGCCTGACTGACTGCTGTTGTCGTGCCGGGTGTGCTAATGTGTCCGTAGTTCGCTGCTGCGTTCTCATAGGTGCCTCTGTTGAGGTGCTCTCGGGGGAGTTTAAAATAAAAGTTGGTTCTTAACAAGGTGCAGACGCAAAATATTTCTTTTTCAGATTGCGGTTCCTGGTAATGTTCAGTTACGATGTATTTCCTGGAATAAGAATGAAGGGTTCATAGCCTGTGGCGGAGAGGATGGATTACTGAAAGTTTTAAAGTTAGAAACACAGACAGGTAATGGAGTTTTGTTTTGTTTTGTTTTGTTTTTTCCTTTTTTCTTAAGAATAAAATCCACCGCACTTTAGTATTCTGAAAACACAACTCCTTCCGATTCTCTAACTTAACAGCATGGCATACATCTGAAGCCTGTACACAGATGTTTATAGATTTGTGTAAGTGTCAAAGGTGCTGCTGCTTTCTTCTGAACGTTGTTTTCCTCTAGCTTGTTTCACATGATATGCCTGTCATTTATCTAGCTTTTATAGCTACTACTTATCTAGCTGATAAGTACTTTAATATCTACTGAACTCTTCAGTGCTTCTTCTTTCAGGGCATACGCTTCATTTTTGTTATTGCTATGTGGACTTCCCGTTTATTTTCATACTCATTTCACTATTTTTTTTTTTAATGTTCTCTACCATTAATCTAAGGAAAAAGTTGTATATTTCTTTGAAATAGTATGAGTATGCTCTGAGAAAAGTGAACTCCAATAAATTTTCTAGTTCTTTTAAAACTTTTTCTAAAAGTAAATAAGCTGTGATAGCCATATGTTTTCTTTGTTGTTTTTGGTTTATTTCTGAAAAGTTGCTCAGGCTTAGTGAGCATCCGAATTTGGATGACAGATATGGGTAGCAA